TGTTCAGCATATTAGAAATGCTGCATTTTTAAAAGCAAATGCAAACATCCAAAACAAATGAACTTGCTGAAACGTTTCTCTTTGGCTTAGGCGCTCTGTGGGACAGTTTATTTACGGAAGAGATTGAAGGAGTCACAAGCACGGAAAGATACATTTAGATGGGAAAGTTGCATTGTCGACGGATACAGAATACCATCAATATTACAGCAACAAGGCCTTTTAAAGTGAGTCGGGACTGGATGTTGACACCAGCGACGAGACAGCCAAGCTAGGGTTCCGTGGATGCATGGAAATAGTGTTAGCTGTGGGGTTAATGACCTCAGGCTCCAACACATCCCCTTGCCTCCGCTGTCAGCCTTACCCACTGTTCCTTCATCATCCCTGCTGTCAGACGCCAGGTTGGACTAGCTGTTAATTTCCTGGCCACAGAGTAGCATTAGTCCCTGTCATCACTTTCTCCACGAGAACCCCCTGCCCTGGGCCTGTTTTTGCACAATAAACAGCGGGGCATAGTCCCGGAGAATTGTGCTCCAGTGGTGTTTATCAGTACGTGGTTCAATGATAAATTGTCTCCCTCCCACATCTGTCATGTGTCCATCTCCACAAACCTAAGCAGGGCTTCAGTGATAGCAGCCCCGGGATGCCTGAAGCCAAGCCCAGACATGCATTTCAGTCTTCCCTGGAGTCAAACGGAACCCGCACTGCTCATTGCTATTCACGACCATGAACAATTTAAATACTATTTAAATTTGTTTTTCTGGAGAAAGATCAGTGATGAAATTGTTGACATAAACTGCTTAAAAAAACTGTTACATTACATTACATACATTGCATACATTAAGCTCTTTTCTTACATCTTACAAATGTCAGACACGTTTCAGAAAAAAGAGGGGACAAAAGAGCAGACTGTTTTAAATGCTGCTCAAGCTCATTTGCCTGCTTTTGACTGTACAAAACAAGATGTCTGCTACATTGAAAATTCAAGGACAGCTGGATTAGACTTGTCATATTAATAGTTTATCTTTATCTCTGACTCCATTAATGACCTGTGCTTAAAGAAAACCATTTTCTTCCATTTCATCCTTCAAAGTGTTTAAAAGAAGACAGCGTTTAGGTTACTAACTAAAAAGTTGTCTACACTGGTTCTTTCCCAGTTAAATCTGTTGACAAACATTTAACTTTGGCTTAAAACTAATATAACACATTTAAGTCAGAAAAGTGATTTTTCTTCCTCGCTGTTTTTTGGGGAAGGGGTTCTAAAATGGGCTGCATGCATCAAGAGGAGAGAGACCTGTTACCTCTATTGATTAGAAAATAAGTCTTTGTAGCCACAAATGAACGTGCCGAAGCCTCAGACACTCTGAGTGAAACTTCTGCTGTAAACATCACGTCAGGATCTCCCACAGCAAACCATGGTCGTTTGGCTCCAAACCGGGTTGATGATTCAAAATCAATCCACTAATGGCACCATGCAACCACGACTGTTTGCTCTCTGCTCCGACTTGTTAAGTGGGCACTAGGGGTCAGTTTGCACGACTGAAGAAGTGTCCACACTGTCCTCTTTACAAAGGCAACTCAACATCCAGACATCACATCACCACACATCCTTATCACCCTGCTGCTCTGTCTCCTTTACACACATTTGAGAGCAGTGAAGGATGACAGTTCAAACATTACAAACACTGGGACAATGACCCCTGACGCAATAGAGAGTGGGCGACAGCAGTGTGACCTTTAAGCCTTAAAACGTAGTTGAAAAAGATAACGCACATTTCATGATTTCTCTGTATTTTTCAGTAAGCAGCCTACTCTTTTGTTTGAGCTGGTCAGATATTGTGGAGCTATTTGCCAGAGATAGGAATATTTAATGAGCAATTCATATAGATGATAATAAGGCAGAAAATACGAATATAAACGCTGGTGAAACCGTCAATTAGGAGTAGGTTAGGCTACAGCACATGATTTATCGTTGTACGCAGGTTCAATTGTTTTCCATCGATTCATTCATCACGTCAGAAGCTCCTTCACTCCCCAGAGCTGTTAGTGCATTTTAAAATAGATAAAACGTCAGTCAGACTCAACCTGGAGATCGCCTGGCAACACTCTCTTCATGCTTAAAACCCTGACACACGTGAAAAAACCGACTCAACAAACAATCACTGCCACATCGCAAAAAAGCGCTGCAGAGCGGCTGTTTGCAGATCAGACCCTGCGTAAAATCTGTGCGAGAAGCGCTCATCTCTCCAAAGACGCACGAAGCACCGCGCTGGATCTGCTCTGCGCTCTTTTGTGACTGGAAACTGAGGATTCATCAGTACACGGTAGGTGTGCAACTGTTATTTTTTTTTTTCAAAAGATTCAAATGGCTAATTGGTGTGTTTTCAAGAAGAAAGACATGCCGAACTTTTGGTCAGTGCAGCAAATTTGTCAGTTAAAAAGATGCAGACAAATGCACTAAATCCGCATCTTCTCCAACAATTAAGATAATTTTCTCTTTAAACAGCCTTTAAAATAATCTTCGTTATGCTTGAGTTGAGATAATAATGGTTTGTTCTTGGTGCGATCTTGGCATGTTCGTTTTTGGCTAAACAATTTTGAATGTGTTGATGCCTGATATTGATATAATAAAACCAACTGTGAGAATGTGTACGATATCATATTTCATGAGTTGTCCTTAACAGAAGGAATACAGCAGGTATAACGTGGTATAGCAGGTATAAAGTGTTTTTACTACACTAATCTGATTTATTAATGTGTTAATGTACTAATGTATGTAATAATGTACTATTCACTTGTTTAAAACTGTAATAATATTCAGAGGCTATTTGTGATGCAAAACTGTCAGGCTATTTATGTAAACTGAATTATAAATAAATTCACTTCAGCATATGTCTGGTTTGTCATAGCAGTTCATCCAACAACCTGCTGCTGCCAAACCTGTGACAATCTGAACAGCATTGGCCCCATATCTTCAGAGACTGCGTTTTACAGATAAGTAATCAATATATTTAAACATTGTGACAAAAGAATAATTCATAATCTTATTCATTTTTTACACTTCAAGGCATGCTCGAGTCTCTTATGGTTGGAATCAATTAAATTAATTGCTATCTAGAAAACCACAAAAAGACATTGGGGCTGAATCTGATGCAGACATTTGACCTTTAAAAGACACATTTATGGGCTGTTGTTAAAAGAAAAATGTTTGAACACACAGAAATAAATATTTCTAGTCAAATCAATGTTTTTAACATTTGAAATAAACACAAGGTTGTGCCCTAATAAAAGGATAAGTGAAGACACTCCTTATCCCATTTATACTATACCTTACTGATAAGTTACATAACCTATAGCTCTTAGTTGCCCCCACAACCAAAACAAAATTGCCTCCTTCAACAGACACAGGCTCTGTTGATGCGAGCTCCAGGTACTGACAACATACTACGGCTACTCAACCTTGTAGACTGATAGACAGCCAGAGCCAGGACATCACCGGGGCTGTCGGGACTTTAAATTAATTTTAAATTAATCAATGCTCGTTTGTTATGATTTGGAGGCGCACGTGAAGTGACGATTTACGTTTAATTTCGCACAGCATTGTGAGTGGTAAAATACAATTCATTTCCTGAAAGCACGCATCCGATCCATACTGCATGAAACCCAGAAGTTAGTATCCATACTGAAATATTCAGTATACTGCGGTGGACCCAAAAAATGCATACTGAATGACCACGAAAGTTCAGTATACTGAAACTTCTTACTTTGTAGACTGTACAGTGAATGTGCCACAGCTGGACAAGCAGCTGCAATTACTGAGTAAAAGTTGAGTAAAAGTTAAACCTGAATGTCGGAAAAGTATACTACAGTTTTAATAGCATGCCAATCACATTTCAACCCAGGGCATTCTGTATAAATGACAGAATATATGAGAGATTGTAGACTTCTTTTATTTTAATTATGTTAATTACCTCCAGATGGGCTGTTGTTTACTTCCACATTCCAGGACCGGAAACCAGTTTAAACGTGCCAAGCATACTGCAAAATAACCGACGACTGGCAGTCACACTACATGATACTGTTGAACTCAGTATGCAGTATACAATATATACTACATACTGATTCAGATAGTAGTATGTAGTACGCGGTTTTGAAAACAGCCCTAGTTATGTCAACATGTAAATCTTTTGACAGACTAATCTTAGAACCTGACAGAATATGCCTCAAACATAGCTTTCTCTAAACACAATGGGCAGCATGGGACCCTGTCTACCAAACGTTTTAGGTTCGGGGGTGATGGTAGTGCATCATCAGTAGCCCCTATCAGGAATTTAACACAACCTTACATACTCCACTGGTCTCACCAACTAAGCTTTCTCCTCTCTGCACTTTCTAAGTTCATCCACTGGCCTTGCTTAGCCTGAGCCACAGCCTTTGTTCACCTTACAACTCCCTCTTGTCGCCGTACAAGAACTCCACAAAAGGTATTTAGATTAACCAGCAAATCTGAATAGAAAGGTCAAAATGCAAAATATCTTACCAAAATGTGTCCCTGTTGTGAGAATTCCTCACCTCAGGTGCTTACCATTTATGTCATGTTGTTTTCATGTTGGAATATCATCATTATAGTCAGTATCCTGAATGTTCCCTCAGTGGGGCTATATATAGTTAAATTGAACTAATTTCAGTGGAACAAACCTCTTGGTCTGTAAACATAACACAACGGAGCATATGGGCCGACAATAGTCAAACGGCATATCTGAGTCACACTGGTCTAACATTCAGCATTAATCTTACTGAAAGGTAGTTAAGTGGAAGTGATAGGCAATCTCCTGAAGTCTGTTTTGTATTTGTAACAACAAACCCAGCACTTTTAGCATCTAAAGGGACACATTCCTGCAGGATAATAAATGTAATTGTTGAATGAACTTCTGAGTGTTGGGTATTTTATAGTGCAAACCTTGAGATTATTCATGGTTTCCATCCTCCAGGTTGACCCCCCTTGCCCCTCGGGAATGGAGGGCACAGGCAGTGGCTGGTCAGCTGAGCTCACGTCTCCCTGTGTGAAGCTACATGAGCTGAATGGTAAAGACAGCAGTCAGGTATTCGAGGTGGCTCTGCAGAACAGCTCCTCCAAACGCAGCAGCCCCCAGTTTGTGGGCGTAGAGCTGCTGCAGTCGTTTAAGCCGCTCATCATCCCGTGCTACACTCTGGTGGCACTGGTGGGCGTCTTCGGGAACTACCTGCTCCTCTACGTCATTTGCCGCACCCGCAAGATGCACAATGTCACCAACTTCTTCATCGGAAACCTGGCTTTCTCTGACATGCTGATGTGCGCAACATGTGTGCCCTTCACGCTGGCCTACGCCTTTAACCCCCACGGCTGGGTGTTTGGTCGCTTCATGTGTTACCTGGTGTACCTGATCCAGCCTGTCACGGTGTACGTGTCGGTCTTTACACTCACAGCTATCGGCGTGGACAGGTAAGACTTAACCTCCTAAGACCCAACTCTTGCATGGCATGCATTTTTAATTTCTCTTTGCTGATTGGGCTGATTGGGACCTGATGAGTGTAAAAACAAAGAATTATCTTTAACACATGATGTAGTTTCTGAGAAAAATGATGTCCACATATGAGGACATTCGTTTTAAATTTCAATAGAACACAATAAAGTCACAATTGAGTAATGATATGCACAACTCTTTATTTGGTGCCTGAACACAGCAGCATTTTTCCTGAGTGCAAAAACAAAATGAGAAACAACAATTGTGCCCCTTTGAGCAATATGGCTCATTTGAAGTGCTGCTAACAGTTGCAGGAAGACGTATGTCTGTAACAAAGCAACATTCTAAACATTTTGCATTGTAACTGTTCTAAACTGTTAATTTCAATATCTCAATATTTCTTCAACCTGCTCAAGGAGTGCATCTCTACCTTGATAAATGTCAAAGTCCAGCACAATACCATCTGCTGTTGCGCAAACAAAGTTTTTCATGCCAACTGGGTTTGGTTTCATTGGCAGATATTGTCGACACGGACAAGCTCCTGTGAAAGGAATCATCTGCTCATCAATGGAAACGCATTCTGGTCGAGCCTGAGATTTCCAGCCTTTCAGAATGCGATTCAGAAAAGGCCTCACCTTCCAGAATTTATCACACTCTCTCAGATCCTCTGGAACATCATCATCAATGAACACTTTGAGTGATCGCCTCAGCCTGAAGAATCTGTCACGTGTGAACATTTCAGTGAATCTCAAGGCTTTGGACCAGTACATCCTGATTGCAGGATATAGTATGCAAGACATCAAAATACAGGCACCAAAAAAATGATAAATTTCATCAGTTGATGTGTTGATGAGTGGGTCCCCACTTCTAGCCAGTGACGTAGCATTAGAGCAATCTGCAATCATCAAATCTTTATCAATATACTGTTTTATGTAGTCCAGTGGGGTCCAGCCCACTCTGTCCTGCACAGTTTCCTCCTCATGCTCAAACTGGGCTTGATTTGGTGTGAGCGGAGAAGCCCTCCATCGCATCCCACACCCTTTCTTGGACTGTTCTTGATGGCTTGGTCCTGGTGTTGTCTCTTCAGGGACATTGTTTGAGACATCGGCCTCATCCTGCTGTGTCTGAGAGCGACGTCTGGGAGTGCGTGATCTGTCACGATCTGAACGATATCCTTCATTTTCATCACAGAGACGTTTACGTCCCCTGATAGGCTGAGAGGGCTGTGGAATGGGGCCCTCACATCCACTATTGTCCTCCTCACTGGTGCTTGGCTCCTGTCGTGGGGGTTGATATTCAACATCTCCTACGGGATCATCGATGTCTGACAAATCTTCCACCTCTGAGTTGTCTCCACCAATTAACCCCAATAACTCCATTACTCTTGACAGAGAATAACACTCTGGAAAAAAATGTCATGAGAAAAATCAAATAAAAATCTATGTAGATTTATTTATAAAACATGCTACATCTGCTTGTACTGTAGTAAACTATTGTTTTCTACCAAAATCATCCCAAAATACTATTTCATTCTCATGTTTTGTTGCTAGCATTTATGATCACATTTAAACATTTTCAACAAAACTAACAAAACTAAGTCCCTAGTTTCAATTATGCCACATTTGTATCAGTAAAATCCAAAGTAGACTTTAAAGTGCTTCTCATCCAGAATATTTAATAATGAACCCTTATATAAGTACCTCAGTAAAAAGGGAGTTTAAGGAACTGAGAAGCAGATCTTCTACAGCTCTGAACAGATAAATATCTTCTTTGAATGTCTCTGAATGTAAAAGCTTTAATGCTGGGCTACAAGGTTTCAAACTCATTACACCAAGCTGTTTCCCAGAAGCTCATGTAGGCTACATCTTTGTGTATTGACCTTGCACACAATGGCAGAGCTGATTTGAATTTTTCTGAAAAATAAAAGCCAATTGTTTCTTTCGGGTACTGTCGATTTGGCTTTGGTTGCTTTCCCAGACTCTATTATCTGTGATGCTTCCCCAGTGGGCTCTCTACTGTTGTTAGCAAGCAATTATTGTGAATGCTGCTCTTCTGTCATCATGGCATTAACTCCAGTTTGGCATGTTTTCCTTCATCACCATCAGTTTGGACACATACATATAATCTAATTTAACTGAGACTATCCACCTCTGTGTTTCTCCATAGATATTACGCCACAGTTCATCCTCTGAAAAAGCGCATCTCCATCTTAGCATGCACCTACCTTCTGTCTGGGATCTGGTTGCTGTCCTGTGGTCTGGTTGCTCCAGCCGTGTCTCACACTTACCATGTGGAGTTTAAGAACGAGGGCTTCACCATCTGCGAGGAGTTCTGGATGGGCCAGGAGAGAGAGCGCTTGGCTTATGCGTACAGCACCCTCTTCATCACATACGTCCTGCCTCTCTCTGCACTCTGCATCTCCTACTTGTGCATCTCTGTCAAACTGAGGAATTGTGTCATACCTGGACACCACACTCAGAGCCAGGCAGAGGCCCAGCGCCTGAGAAAACGCAAGACCTTCCGACTGGTGAGCCTGGTGGTGGCAGCGTTTGGTGTCTGCTGGCTGCCCATCAGTGTGATCAACGTGCTGCGAGACATTGATATCGACCTGATCGATAAGCGCTTCTTTCTGCTCATTCAGCTGCTTTGTCACCTGTGTGCGATGAGCTCGTCCTGTTGTAACCCTTTCCTCTATGCCTGGCTGCACGATCGCTTCCGGGCAGAGCTGCGCAAAATGTTCACCTGCCGCCGTCGCATTGGGATCTCAGCCAACAACTGTGCCACAGCCAGTATGGTTCTGTAAAGCTCCAGTGTTCAAGGATGCTGATGGTCTTTATTTTCTTTGACACTTCAGTATATTCATCTCAGTCTGGTAACATTCAGGTAATGCAAACAAAATAGGAGTAGATGTGTTTCCACTGCAGGAGTTCTACATGGGATTTGGGATAATTTCAATCAATCAATCAATCAATCAATCAATCAATCAATCAATCAATCTTTATTTCTATAGCACATTTAAAACAACCTTGATTGACCAAAGTGCTGTACAGAAACACAATGTAGAAACAAGTAAAATAACATATAGAATGAAACACAATAAAAACACAATAAATAGGAGCGTGAATAAAATTTCAAAATATCAAGCTCAAATGGTATTAAAAGCCAAAGCAAAGAGGTGAGTTTTAAGCAAAGATTTGAAGTTGTCGATGGACTGATGTGATCATAGCGTCTCTTCCCCGTCAGAAGACGTGCAGCCGCATTTTGAACCAGCTGCAGGCGGCGAAGCAAACACTGGTCAACCCCAAAATATGAATGAATTAGAATAGCCCAAACGAAAGGTTATGAGCATGTGGATGACTCTTTCAAATTCATGTGGAGGGAGATAGGCCTTTACCTTTGCCAGGAGACACAATTAAAAAAAACTTGTCTTCACAACTGAGCTGATTTGTTTGTTAAATTTAAAGCAGCTGTCAAAAATAACTCTGTAATGATTTTTTATAGAAGGGCGCTGTAGGAGGCTAGATGACCAAGAACACTATCAACCCCATCCAGGAGTTCAGATTTGTGAAACACAATTATTTCTGTTTTGTTTTTGTTTAGAGTCAGGGAGTTTAGTTCCATCCCGGATTTGACATCTTCCAAACAGTCCAGGAGTCTTTATTAGTTTTTAAGGGTAGGTAGACTTGCAAGTCACCTGCAAAACAATGGAAAGAAATGTTGTACTTTTAAAATATGGACCCCAGGGGAAGCAAATATAAAGAAAAAACAATGGGGCCTAAAATGGAGCCTTGAGGGACCCCACAGGCTAGTGGGGCAGCAGCTGAGGAGTAATGGCCTAAATGAACAGAAAAGGTCCTCTCTGTGAGGTATGATCTAAACCAATTTAGGACATCACCTTTAATGCCAACACACAGTTTGAGGCGAGATAAAATAATCTGGTGATCAACTGTGTCGAAGGCAAATCTAACAGCACCAGCACAGCAGAGTTCCCAGAATCAACAGTTAAAAGAAGATAATTAAAGACTCTTAAAAGTGCATTTTCAGTGCTGTGGCGTGATTTAAAACCAGACTGAAACTTTTCTAAGTTTAAGGTGCAACTTAGCTGCTCTAAAACCACTTTCTCTAAAACTTTGGACAGGAAAGGAAGCTTAGAAATGGGTCAAAAGCTGGAGAGAACAGAAGGGTCAAGGTTATATTTTTTGATAAGAGGCTGTACTACAGCATGTTTAAAAGCAGTTACAACACAGCCTGAGGTAAGAGAGGTACTTATCAAAGTTAAAATGAATGACCCAACAGTGTTAAAAACGTCTTTCAGTAGTCTGGGAGGAATACTGTCTTAAGGGTATTGTGAAGGTCTCATTTGTTGGACCACCTTAGATAATTAGAAAGCGACACCGGCTCAAACTGCTCAAAGACAGCTGAGCATGCAGGAGACAAAGCTGGATCTGAGGTGGAGGGAGAAGGTGGAGACCTGATGGCAGAAACTTTATCAATGAAAAATTTTCCATAGATTTTCAGAAGAAATTATTCGCATAGAGTGGGTGATGGCACAACACAAGGAGAGGATTTGAGGATTTAGAGGTATTTCCACCATAGGTATCAGGGTAAGTCCCAAAAGTTCCCTGCAGCAGGGGGTAGCTTTACAAATGTATGAGATTTGGAGTTGGCCTTGCAGCACTAAACATTTCTGATTCTTGGACTGTGACTGTGAAGCTGTGACTAGTCAACTATTTGTGTAATCGACACGTCTTTAGATGTTGGTGAAATTAGTAGAATGTTGGGGCTCAAGGAACTAATAGTTTCAGGTACTTTTGACTGCCAAGTCTATGGTGATCCAGCTTTGACTCCAGGTAGCAGCATTATGGAGCCATCATTTACCCCCATGATTTAGGAGCCAAGAGTCAAAGACTTTTCACTGTTGTCTACCAAGGTACTTAAAATACCCTATCAACATATTTCAACAACAATGCCAGACTTGTAATATTAAAAAAAGAATCAAAGCCGATGCAGTTATTAAAAGAGATGAACCAGATCTTTTGATTGTTTTTTTGTTTTTGTTTTTTAAAACAGGCAAACGGCAAACCACCAGTTGGTGAAGCTAGGGGAGTGGGCAAGTGAACTGGTTCCAATATAAATTATTCTACCCCGACCTAAAAAGACTCAGCATTTTTGTAATAAGCTCCACTAACATGGTCATGCTAGCAGAAAGGTTTTGAGACAGAGCTGATTGAACACAGAAGGTTCAGTGTCCGGGACATGGCGACCTGCGTGCACTTCAACTCTCGGAATGAGGGAGCGGGGGGAGACAGGTCTCTCCAATGTTTTGAATTTGGACTGCAGTACCAGTTCTAAACACTATGCGTTGGAGTAACATGTTGCTCCTTTAAGTTTGAACATATTACTTTAAATATCAACTGCCCTGTGTGGTTTTGTACAGAATTTAGTCACAATGAGCAGCTGAATTTGTACATATTGATTTAAAAACTTGTCTATTTTTGGGATGTCTTTCCCATCAGGCCTGTCGACTGGCAGAACCAGCATGTTTAATCTATTTCTGCCTTTTGACAATAAAAAGCTAATTTTGTCTGATCAAAAATTGACTATTGAGGATGAGCAAAATAACATTTTCTTGTTATTGTCAGACAGGCTGACGTCCTTGTAATAATTTTTTCCAACTTTATCTTAATTATAAGCAGCGGTACATTGTAAATTTGTTGGTGACTATTTTTAGCTTAGTTTTGTTTCGATGGATGTGGGATTGATTGGGAACAAACTTCATCATAGTGAGTGATCATGTCGTCCAGTGAAACTGAGGCTCACTGATTCATGGGACTAAGCTATATGCGCTTAATGAACACCTTACTTATTATGCTAGTTGGCTCAATTCTTTGTATAAAGTATTTTCATGAGATTTATTGACAGAAGAAAAAAATATGTAACACCACCATTACTTTTTAAAGATCAGTCCTAGCTCTCTTATCTCTTTAGCTTAAGTGGAAGGTCACATTCATAGAAATGTTTCAAACCTTGATTGAATCACTGTAAACATAAGGTTCTTCAAATGCATCAGCATCACCATACTTTTTTGAGTCAAATGAAATGCTCGTCTGCTCTGTCCCTGAGCCTGAAAGGTATCTATTGTATACAATAAAATGTTTCCATGGCAACGTTGGCTTATTATTCTTTTTTGGTCAGGGTCAGGTCAATAATGTAACAAACATGTGTTTACTGGAAACCACTAAACATCTGGATACAGGCTATGGAAACAATATAGAGCTTTTTTTTACCATGTATAAAACTATAAAAATAATTCTAATAATATTTTAATTACTCATATTAGTAATATTTGTTTGAATATGTACATAAAATCAGCCCAAAAGTAATTACTGACACAAACAACTGGTAAAACGATTAGTGTCTTTATTTCAAATAAAACAACTTTTTCCTCTCTGCATCACTTCTCTCTGGAGTTTTACACAAACTGTAGTTTCATGTCAGACAACCACACATTACATCAGCCTGCACATTCTGTGAGCGCTCACTCCAGTGAAAGAAGAGAGGTAGCCAACAACAAGTTTACATTCAGCAAAATATACAGAGTCATGAAAAGTCATGAAAAAGATTTGGAAGGCACAGGTATGTACATTCTGGAGATGAATATTGCTTTAAAAAAAGGCATAGGTTAGGGTCCATTTCTTAGTGTAGTTCAAATACAAAGACACGGCTGGTTGTGTACGACTGACACAGAGTCATTATCATTTTCTGATTACTAATTCTTGATTATCTCTTGGTTTCATTTAATAAATACAACACAAAAATCACAGGGATTGAACCGTCTCACATTATTATTAAAAGAGTACGATTCTCTATTATTACTTGCATATCGTTTCAAAGTATGTGCACAGGCTACCTCATGGAAGACACTATAGCTACTGCATTCATCAAAATATGTACAGTACAAAGTAGCTGCTTGCTTTTATCTATTGCTGTTTTACTAAAGAATACCTTTTAATGCAATAATAGGCACTATATATTAGTTTGAAGGACTGGATGACCAGCTGACATTCAATTGTGGTGAGTAAAATGGAGAAATATTGGTAATTTCTCATTAAACTAATACATGCCAGCTAATAGGCCTTAAAATACAGGAGAAAAATAAAAATAAAGAAATTATAAGACTTAAAAGGAGGAGGAAGACTCAATGTGCACTTATTTTAAAGTATAGACAATCTCAGTTGTCCTCAGCTCGAGAGCTCATAACTGTAACTTAGGGTCTGCAGAAAAGCTGTGCAAGTAAATTCATTCAATGACTGAAACAAAATACATGAGTGATGTTACATTCTTAGCACTGGTAAGTGATGCATGAATTCTGAATGGTTGATAAGGTACAGTGTCATTTTAAACACAGAAATAAGTTACAGTGAAAAGAGTCAAATAAAGGCCAGATAATAGTTTTTAAAAATCAAGTGTTGTACATGCATTATTACTTTATTAAATAAAGCTAAACAAGAAATGATATCAAGATTAATCAAGATGTTGAATATCATTTCATGTAAAATATTAAGAGAGCAAAAAGTCCAGTACCTTAGTGTCCAAACAAATACATTCAATTATATAAAGATTTTTATTTGCTTGTTATTAAGTAATGCATTTCTTCAGAGATGATTTTCCAGCATTCTCAAACCAAACTGACTCTAAGGCAAAAAAAAAAAGAAAGTGCATTAGCTGTAAGACCTTCAAGGAGGTCTGCTCTCTCAGCATAGAGTGACACCAGTACCATCTCACACAAACACAACTGGCTGCTGAAGATGGACTCTCCTTATACTGGCTTTGCATTGAGAGACTGCAGGATTGTGGGTTTCTCGTCTATGACACGGACCAGCAGGTTGTCTATGTACTCCTCCAGCTCGACGATCTTAGTGTCCTTTCTGGACAGGTCGGTTTGCTGCTTCACCACCAGTGTGATCAACTCCTCCTGTGTCAGCTGGGTGTAAGGCCCGCTTTGTACGGCGTCTCCCACCTGTGAATAGAGTGTATGTATTATACAGCATTATGTCATATAATTAGAACACACAGGTTGAATTAGGTCAGTACATATCCAGCTGTTGGGGCTCTAGGTTTGTTCCTTCAGACAAAAACTCAGTTGCCGAAATAAAAGAAACAGGGTTGAGTTTGCCATCTGACAAAAAAAAACATTTAAACCTATGGCTTGATCCCTAGTATTTCAATCTTTTAAACCGAGCCTGTGGACCTCTTCTAAACTTGATCTGCTGAGTGGAAAATATAACAACTTTATCTTTAGAAAAAAAATCATTTTAAGTAAAAATACCTTTTGTTCAACATCAAATATTTTTTCAAGTCACCTGAAATAAGATTTCAAATAAGACAATTCCTTTGCTTTGTAGCTGGCAGTTGTTACTGACACTATTAAACAGTCATCTCAAAATGGTTTCTTTTAAATAAGGAAAAGCAGTTTATTTGGAAGAATACTAAAATGTTTTTTGTTGTTATCTAGCTCAGCTGGTTGTCATCCTGGAATGTTAACCCAGTGTTTCTACGAGCACGTTCACATTAAAGAGGCAGTGTCTGCTTCATATATCAAAATCATGAACAAGGCTGCCATCAGCCAATTGTCTTATTTCACAGACTGAGTTAACTTTATTATAAAAATGTGACTAAGTTAAAATCAACACAGCTGCAGCAACAACTGCAAAGTCACTGCAAATTAAGGTTTATTATATCTCTATCCCATTGTTAGTGCACCTATAATCTAATTGTAATAACTCCTGTTTATTCCCTTTACTTAGTTTGTTGCTCGTTTTTTTCTTCTGGCATGTATGACAATTTTTAGATGTAGGGCCTAATATTCCAGCTGCAGCCCCAACACTAACAAAAAGTAGAATAAAGCAACTCAAACTAACATGAAAATATAAATCAAAATGATAAGTATGCCTAATTTCACATCTCATAATCCCTGCTGCGAAGTGATAGGTCAGCAGGTCTATCGTGGTCTCAGCATATCATTCATGTCAACATCATATTACCTGAATCGTCCCTGGTGTGCTGTCCTTTATCTCTTTGACAGTGGAGCTGCTGAAGGCATTCTTCTCAGCTGAGCTCATGGGCTTCACAGGATGAGGCCTGTAAGGAAGAGTGTGCATTATGATAAAGCGCCTCAAAGTGCTTACTGCCTCAACAAAAATATGAATAGAAACCCAACAGAGTAATAAAAAAAAACATATATAAAAAGCAGGAAAAAAAAATGTCCTGTTGTGTTGCGCAAATCTTCCAAATCATCCCACCATCATCAAAGCGTAATGTTTAGAATTAAACTCAACAGGAGCCCAAGAAATCATGTCATCAAGTTTTCCAAGTAGTCACACCCAGGGTTAGTACCAACACCAACATCTGCCTCCCTATACAACACCGAGAGCAAACCTTTTTCCACCAATGTACACTTTGTAAGCAGCCTGTTCAATCTCACCTGCGTGCAGATAAGGCTAGCCCACCTCCATTGCTATTCTGGGCATTGACAGACTGACCCTCAGAGGGTGAGACCCATGCTTTCACTGGTGCCTTTCCCCGAGACACCCCTCCTGCCTGAGACGCTGGTTCCTCTGTAACAACAGAGAGGGGCTGTGAGGAGGCTAGAGTAAAAGGATCAGCTCCGAATGCATCCCCTCCTCTGTAACGGGAGCTTGGCGGTTTCACATCAGCTTCAAGCTTCGGTGTGACGGACTCATCTTTTGTGGCTGTTGCTGTAGACGTGTTATCTCTTTTCGCGGGTTCTTGTACAGATCTTGAAGTCTTATTATCAAAGTAAGATAGGGGACTAGGAGTCTGTTTTCGCCTGCTGGAATTCCTTCTCAGGAAACCAGGATCGTCTTTTTCTGTGTTCTCACTGTGTCTGTTTGAATCGCTGCCATTAAAACCATCAAACTGATCTGTTGGTTTCTCTTTTTTAAAAATGTTATCAAGATCCTCTGCTGTTATTCCACAATCTTCAAGTGTTAGGTCTTTTTTAACACCACCAGCGAAAAGATCAACTTCTTTGCTCTGCTTTGGCTGTGCCCATGGGTCTTTGGAGAGAAGCTCAGTACTGGGGAATGGGTCGAACTCTGCAAAGTTCTCCTTTGTCTGACTGCTCTTTTTATCCATCCTGCCCATATTTAGGCTAGTCTCAATATTACTGCTCAGATTTTTGTCAGAGTCTACTGGAGTCACAGCAGAATCCTCTGGCCTCACTGTCTCTTTGTCATTAGCTCTCTGTCTGGGTTTGGCTGTGGGTGGCTCTTTGTTCACACTGGCTTTGGTTTGTCTTTGATCATCTTGTGGTGTTCTGTCTGAGACTATTTGGCTGGTTGGTCTGGTTGAACTCACTGCTGCAGGTGATGGGGACAGCACCTTCCTTGCTCCATCCCTGGGCATTGATGAAAGACTTTCTCTGCTTGAAACATCACTGTTTACAGATAGTGGAGCTGGAGACTGATTAGGCGTCATGAGAGGTTGGTGAGAAATATTCTGGGTCTGTCTCTGACTGGAATCTGTGACGGATCGAGGGGGTGCAAGTGCCACTGACTTAGGGGGGCTGGGGCCGCTCCTTTTTTTGAAGACACAGGTTTTGTTTCATGTGTCTGATAAAGAATCATAGCAGGACTCTCTTGTGTGTGTGAAGACCTTCGATTGAATTCAGGCTCCTGTGGGCCATCCACGCTCATTTCTGGGCCAACTAACTCAGGTAAGGGTTCTCTGTTTCTCTGGCTGACCTCTGCAATTAAGTTGTCCCATCGTGTGGTGCCTTGCACTCCGTGTCTCTTCTGAGGAAAAAGGGTTTCATAATCAGGAAGTGGTAGAGTCAGCTTGTTGCCTTGTGGCAGTCCATCTACATCTACATATGCAGGATTCTTGAGCTCTCTGATGGGTAAGTGATTTCCTCCAGTTTGGGTGCCATGTGAGGGTGGCAGAGGGGCCCTTTTCTTCTTATCTGCCATGGTGGGTGAAGATCCCACAGAGGACCAATCCTCTGTGCTGCCACAGGGGGAACCTGACAGGCTTTCACTTAAGTTTGGAGGGTTGAATGATGAGTCTAGGTTGAAGACAATGTCAGGGGAATCAGACGGGACACTAGAGAGAGTGGGCTCGGAGGTGGCTGGGGAAGGACTTGGTTGACTGGGGAATTGGGAGTCAGTAGGTTCAGACTCCAGAGACTGAGGGGATCTGCCAAAGAGTGAAAACAAAGGCCTATAGGTCAGTCTGACCATCACCTGAGGTCATTTCCATCAAGGTACAACCCATCACCATTTTAGCTTGAATCACACAGGTCAACAAAAACTTTGAAATACATAACAAGCCTTTACATACTTGAATTGTTCCCCCAACTGCTCATTACTTTCACAAATCTGCACTCCATAAGGCTGCCACAGTTCAATGTAATAAGCCAACTTACAGAAGAGGCTTTCTGTCTTCACGTTTTGCAGTAGCTGATTCTATTTTTAGCGTGAACTACCCACATTTGACTCAAAAGTATAAGAAGCGGACAATGTGACATTCCTGCTTTAACATGATCATACATCGATTATTTTATGCACAACAACATCAATTTGTAAAAACTCCTTTTAAATACCTAGACGACTATCTGCAATCTATCACAACATTATAGAAGTCAATGACTACTGTGACATCAATAAAAACTGCAAGCACAAGCCCCTTACCATTGTGAAGCAAATATATAAAGTATCCAGTCCAAAACAACTGTAAATAAATACAAAAACGAAATCCAATCACCCAAGACGTCCTTGAAGAAAGTAAAACTGTGGCGCAGTTACTCCTTTTGAGCTCTGCTCAGCCAACGACCTGTTCCACAACATCCCCACAAGCCACACCCAGATTCCCATCCGCACAGGGACAAAACTGGTCAAACTGGCCTGTCAACCCTGGGGTTCAATTCAAGACAGTACCATGTTTGAGCCAATGTGAACAGAAACCGGAGAGAAAGTTGTGAAATTCACCAGTTTCAGGTTTGACAGACGCGGTGTAGGATGACACATCATAATAGGAAACATGTGTTAGTCTTTAAATTACATTTTTTGTGGTTATGCGCCTCTTGCATAAGGTGAAAAACCAACAACAACAAAAACAACTCTTTTCTCTGAAGTTAGTGTTCGGTCTGTTCTAGGATGTATTCAATGTAGACAGTATGTGCTCTTTAAACTGCAGGCCTATTGAAGGCACTATTTAAATTGCAATCCAGGAAGTCCAAGAATTGTTTGAGTAAAGTTGAGTAAAAGCAGAACACTGACATAACTTTAACACAATTACATAAAATACATGTGGAGGAAAGGTTCAAATGTTCAGATTAAAGATGAGGAAGCCTACCTGGGTTTGACTGCAGACACTTTAGCATTGCGGTTGAGGAAGACCATGGCAGAGGGGGGTTGTGGGTTGCTGTTTGATTTCAGATGATCAGCTGGGCTTTCATTGATGCCGACTTGGCGATCTGAGCTGAGGGAGATGTCCTCAAATGGGTTGGTGGAGTTGCTGGAGAGTGGATGATTAGTGTAAGCATGAGGGACTGAAGGCAGCTCCTCTTTAACAAATTGAGGGACTTCTTCTTTCTTCTCTTCCTTCTTTTTGATGATTCCAAACAGAGAGGACAGTCTGTCGCTCATGGAGGCCTCCTCCTGTCGTTTCTGCTCATCTGCTTTGCGACGCTCCTCCTCAAGCTTCTGTTTTTCTGCTGCTTCCCTCATCCTTAGTTCTTCCTCTTGCTCCTGTTTCTTCCTCTTGGCTTCATCCTCAAGGAAGCGTCTCTTTCTCTCCTGTACCTCCTGTAGTCTTTGCTCCTCTTCCTCCTGAACGCTTTTGGCTGCTGCTTTGTATTTCTCCTCTTCCTCCAGCCTCTTGGCCTCTGCTATGCGCCTTTCTTCTGCCTGTCTTCTCTCCTCCTCCTCTAGATGGCGCCTTTGCTCCAGCATTGACTTATCTGTGGACTCTATCAGTATGGAGGGAACAGGAGCACTCCTTAAGCATCTGCAGAGAATTCAGAGGTGTGATTGCGGACATCCTCTACAGATCCTTGGCCAGAGCTGTTCAGACTGAGGGTAGATCCACTTTTGGACTCCTCTTCAGTGTAAACATGGCTGCCGTTGATGCACAGGTTGTTCTGGTCACTGTTGCTTTGCTTGTTGCGACCCAGCAGGGAGAAAGGACCCTGGGACACCTTGCTGTCAGAGCTGCCTGACCGCTTATGTCCCAGGAATTTGAATTTCTTTTTTCCTGACAGAAGTGACAATGAAGCATGATGTCATTGTTGACACGCAAAACACCATTATTTAACTTTCACTGTACCGCAAAGAAACACAGAACTGTAAACATACAATGCACATGGAGTATAGAGGGGTAAGGTTACCTTCAGGAGAGTCCACATTGAGACCAGACGAGCGGCTGCCACTGAGAGATGAATTCTTCTCAGGAAGGGTCCCCAGTGTAGACATGGATTGAGAGACGTTACGCTGCAAGTTTGATTTGGGAGCAAACAGTGTTTTGAGCTTTGATTTCTTCTTTGTTCCTGGAAACTGATTGAGTGACTGTGCATCAGGCTCTCCCTCACTATCAGTGAGCACCTGGCTGACAGAAGGAACTATAGCTGAAGCAGAGTCCGAGAAACCATCTTTTTTCTTCCCCCGGACTTTGTCCTTCAGCTTGGAGATGCGGGAGCGCGGTTTGTCCTGCATAGAAAGGTCAAACATACTAGCTGACATGTTGTTTCTCATAAAGATTATATCCAGCAGCACCTCCCCACGCGCCTTGTCCTCTTTTCCACTTTTGTCCACCAGCTTGAACCAACTGCAAAAGAGAGAAAAGATGATTCAGAGATGCTTAAGATTGATTTTTTATTGGATATATGAAGTTGCCTGAGAAGCAAAAGTTGTTTATTATTATTTTAATTTAAATGTCTTACATTGTAAAACACCATCATCTTATAAGTACTTTCCAAGTACAGGACAAAGCAATAGTGTGAGACATTTCTTGATCTTAGTGCAGTTTCAATGAACCAGAGTGAGATTTTTTTTTTCTTAGTTTCTTTTAAAGTGTGCTGTAAAACATATACCAACATGCATTCACTTTCAAATTGTCATTGTCAGTAGTTAGGTAGTTATCAACATAACGTTTTCCAAAATATATATATATATATATATATATATATATACACACATACAAATACACATTTCAAACGAAAATATGAGACACATAGCTAACTTATAACTGTAAATAATTACAATCCAGATGCAGTGGTTAAGAATTTTCTCTGATAAAGCTTTCTGTGAGATTTTTTGTATGCGGATAAATGATCAACAGAAAAATTTACAAATTTCAGATTCACTAATGCAATACCTTAATTAAAGTGTAAAAATGTAACAGACTTAACAATCAATCAATAAACAGAAAATCAAGAGGCAACATTTTTGATAACTGGATGTCACAATTAAGTAAAAATATCAACTTTTGTTCGGGTTCAGTTCAGCTTCTTGAATGTGGATTTGTTGCTTTGCTATTTTACAGAATATAATGGCAATGGAATCCATTTATCACAAAAAATATAATATAATAATTAAGTCAGGGTTCATATGCATCTTACTGCTGTATGTTATAATTTTATAAAACAAACCTAGAAAGCCAAGAAATCTTAAGTTCATTTGATATTGGGGTGGCACTCTGCAGGCTAAGCAAAGACATGTTCTGGAGGTGGAGTTTAATACGGTTAATTGCAGTTGAATATAAAAAAACTGCATGTTATAAATAATTCCTGTCTAATATTTCAGAAAAGCTCTACCGACCAGGGGTCTCATTTATAAAAGAGTGTGTAGAATCCATACTAAAAATGTACGTGCGCACAATGATTCAAATTTATAAAACCGGTCGCATGCACATCTGCGCGCAATGTTCCCTTTATAAATCACGATCCACCTGGAAATGTGCGCACGTAGATTAGTCCCATGTTCCGCCCTCTACACGCCCACATTCACGCTGGATCGCGGCGAAACCCGAAAGTTTCTGACCTAGAAACGGAGGAGTTTGTGAATGAAGTGAAGGATAAAATAACTGGACATATCAGCAGTTGCAGCAGGAGGATCACAAACTTAATTAAAATCAGAGAATGACACCACGTCGCTGCTGCATTCACCCTGTCCCATGTGCCAAAACATCCACCGTTCATCATTACGCACGAATAATGATGCAATGTTTACATTACGGGACCGACACTGACTTCTTCATATTGTCAGAGTGCTCACGTCAGTCAGCAGTCTGCCTCACTATATCATATTAGTCATCAAAAGTTTGATCAACGAACAAAAACGTTTGATTGTTGGCCCCTTTTTGTTGTGGTAAACTCTGTCTGCTCTGTGACTCATTATGAGGATATATAGACCTAATGATCGTTTCAGAGATGCCCTGACTTAATGTCCACACTCTAATTATTTACAGAATAAATATGTGCAGCTGATAAAGACATGCTGAGTAACGAGAAGGCGAAATGTGTGAAGCCACCGTCGTGTCTCTGTGCGCTCTGTGCGCCTTGACGCAGGCATCTTTATTAAAACTAAAAACCACACATGATGATAAATGCACGATATTGAAAGATATTAATGAAAACTGGTGGCTCTATGGTCTCTGTGTTAGTCTAATGTTTAACTCTACATCAGTGATTACATTAATGTACAAGTCCGGTCCACTGAGGTCCGTCCGGGATAATGAAGGCGAGACGGCGCTGATGCAATATGTATGTGGCGGACTTTTATTTTTTATTTTATGTTTATATATTGTCATAATGAAAGTAAGTTATCGGAAACGGCTCACTACATGCGCGATTATAGCCTAAATAAAATCGTCGGTTTGAATGATTATGATGACGTGGATCTGTCAGTAAAGTTTGATATTTAGTGAAATAAAATGTGGAAGAGACATCAATATGTATCTGCAGGCTTCAATTCACCACTTCGCCGTCTGTGTCGCCAATTTCCCATGCCTCCAAAATGAACGTATGCCTGTGTCAGAGTTTGCTTACCGGTGCGCACATTTTACCATCAGGTGTTTTTTTTATTGATCACAGACTTTGCGTGGGAAAAGGCGTACGCCAGTTTCAGACCCCGTTTTGTGCGTACGCAATGGTTATAAATGAGACCCCAGAAGTTCTAAATGCATCAGGTCTGTAGTTAGTCTCCTTTTCTTGTCAGACCTGAGACTGATAGGTGTCATGGCTAGTGCACGGCTTGTTCCAGTTCCTGTTTAGAGCTCCATGCCAACAGCAGATGAAGCCTGACAATCACAGCTTTGTTATGGCTGCCCCCTCATGTCCTCTCTGTTGTACAGGATCAACTCTTATTGTCTGCAAGGGAAAGGTAGGAGTGTTCTGGAGAGCCCTTTCAAAAAGCATGCCAAAACAACCAATTAGAGCCATTACATGCAGACGCTTCCTGCTTGTACAACCAAAGCCTTGCTATTATTAGATGGACTAACACTGTACCAGAGGTGCCCATTATGACAAGCTTTTCCCCTTTTGAACTCCTTTGTTCACAGCAGAGCCTTCCAACTGCTCCCCTTGATGATATTTACCACTGGCAACACATTTCTGTGCACAGGGTTCACTTATTCAACACTAATCAGATAGCAAAACAGATACTATACATTGAAAATGCACTAAACAAAAAAAAAAAAGGCAGCAGTAGCTCAGTCTGTAGGGACTTGGGTTGGGAACCAGAGGGGTTGCCAGTTCAACTCCCGGTGCGGACCAAATATGGAAGTCGGTCTGGTAGCTGGAGAGGTGCCAGATCACTTCCTGAGCACTGCCAACGTCCACATGAGAACAAACACTTATCTCTTAACAGTTATACTTAGCCACACATTAATAATGACATGGAACAAAGCCAGCACAAAGGTAGTATTAAAATATGCTTCTTTGTTTATGAACCTTGAAAAAAAATCTGGTCTTTGTTGTATCACATTAGTGGATGCTGCAATCTGCTTCAACATGCTATGTTTATTTCTCATTCCAAGTGCACACAACACAACTTTTGTTATGCAAGGATGATTTTGTCTGTTGGTTTTTAACTTTTGTTAATAAAACTAAATATTCACTATACTTACAGATGTATCTATAAAAGTGCTAATCTTCTGAATTTGCCAAAACGTCTAATTTAAATGAACTTTTTTCCCCTGTTATACCTGAAAAAAATATCTTTCCCCAGCGATGTTCTGCAGATCTGTCTGGACATCCAGTGTTCATGTGTCAGAGAGTGACATTAGATGCTGTGACTGATGGACATTAAGTTTCCACCTCTTTGAGAAAAGAACACCTCAATCAGGGTTTAGGTAGTGAGGTGGAAGGAAAAGTGACAGCATCTTGAGATAGGCCGTAAATAAATCCCTTCTGTAGAGAAGAAGAGAGTAGTAAAACCTCAAATGGTCCTGTACAACTGCAGAGTTATGTGGCCTGCCCAGTGTTCGCACAGCGATCATTTAGGAATGAAATAACACACATATCAGTGTGGTATGTCCCAAAATAGAGTTCAAGTATTTTAAATATAATAACTTCATTTACTTTTCAAAAAGGCTTTAAATGCTTTACAATTAAAACAAGCAAAAATAGTATCAACAAATACACAACTTGAAGATCAAGAAAACTAAATGATTAGGGAATTAAACAGGAATTTGAAATAAGCATGAGACTAACTCTCCCAATCAAAGGGCAAGCGCCCAGTGAAGAAATCCTCCATCCCAACCTCGAAAAGAGATAAGGGCAAACAGAAAGGAAGTCTGCAGGGAGGTGTTCCAAAGAGAACAGGGAAAGGCTGAGTCAGGATGAGAACCCTGTGAAGGCTAGAGCACACCCCGGATAGGTTAGGCTCCAAGCTCTACTCCCCACACACACCCACCCTGACACTTCAAGAGAAATGTAAGAAAGAGAAAAGGGAGAGCCTTATGCCTTATGCTGTCTTTATAGCATATGCATAATTAAGCATAGATACAATTAGTTTTTGGTGATTATTTTAAATTTGGAGAAAGATGTGGTCATTGAATGCATCACAGATATGGTAACATATACAGTAACACTGACTCTGCTGAGTGTGTGTGTGTGTGTGTGTTTGTAATCAAAAGCTGTTAGGTGTTGTTGTTTTTTTTTCTTGGCTTGTTTGTTTTTGTTTTGTTGTTGTTTTCTGCCTGTTTTTGTCATTTGTTATTTGTCTGATTTGGCTAATGTCTTACAGAAAGAAAAGAATGTCCATGCATACTGTAAGCTGTCTTTAAAATGCAACTTGAACAAAAAACTTTAAATGAAAAAAAGGAGCTGTTAGGAGGTCACTGAATGATTTCCTTTTATTGATAATTAATATAACATAGATATTGGGGCCTTGTGAAGGTGAAATCTCATATTGTAAGTGATAAACTGAGGTATGACAAAAGGAAGAAATTACAAAGTATGGGTATCAGGTCATTAACCACACAGTTAACAGTTATCTGCAGTTCATGTGGAGTTTACTGCTGCAAATTTCATTCGTCATTTGAGTTCACTGTAGCAGACATCCTCACACGGGTTCTTTAGAGGTTAACAATAACAGTCAGGAAAGAAGCATGGGAGTGAACCAACATTCCTCAAACACTTTCAAACATAGGGAGGAGCTGTACAGTGTGTGATGTAATGAAAGTTAGTGTGAGCATAAACATTCCTCATTTCCCTCCCTAAACCCAGCGTGCCAAGACAAACAACTGCTAAATAGTGTTTACAACAAAGATGAACCTTTCTACGGCTAATAAGGAAACTGCTGGTTGATCATGTTTTGCAGCTCACTTGACTGTTCTGAGACAATGCATAGTTCTGGTTATTAACAGAACAACAGGGTGTACATGTTCTGTTTTTTTTTGTGCAGAAATAAAGAGCCGTGCCCGGTTCATGCTGTCACAAGTCCTGCTGGGCAAGTTCCCTCAGTTACCAGTCAAAGGCACTTCTGTCTCATGTTTGATGATTAACAGAGTGTGTATTTAGTCTGTGAGTAATAGCTTCAGCCAATAATATGAGGCTGTGTAGTTGTCTCATATAAAGATAACTTCCTCCAAAAGATTGAGCTAACAAATCCACTAGTGACTGGAACTTATTGCATTTGAAAGGTTTTCAGGGATCACCAAGAAAAAGGAATAATCTTAGAGTATATGAAATAAATATGGGATCGTATTGTGAATGATTTTGAAGGTGTATCTTAAGTTGGTTAGAAACAAACAGGACAAGATTTGTTTTTAGTTTCACTGCTATGCTTTTTGTTTACAAAACATTGTCTCTGGTGTCAAGTGACTAGCACTCAGGACAACAGGCTCAACAGATGAAAGTCAATGCTGTAACTAAATATCCAGCCCTTAAAAGAATATATTTACTGACTGGAAAATACTAGGCAGCTATTATAACGACGGATACATACTTTCAAGTCTTTTTTAAAGAAATTATGACAAACATTTAGCAGGACTGGGTTCTATTTTTTTTTAATTTTTACTCTGCTTTAAGTTGTTATACTGGCTGTCAACTGGCTTAGCATCTTTTTGGTTTTCGTTAGTCAAAACAAATGAATTATTAAAATCTGCAGGTTTAGGGAAATTGGAAATTAAAAGGATGTGATTCTGCCATTTCTCACAATTTATACACAAAATCGTTATAGAGTAATTCAGGTAAAAAAAAATAGATTCATATAAATATATTTGCAGCCATAAAAATAATCAATTACTTGTCAAGAATGTCTTTCTGTCAAAAACTCAAATAAAATCTTTACACCACATAATAGACGTTCTCTATTTTAATGTCTGATCATCTGTGACAGTAAATGGATCCTACTGTGCTCTCGTGAAAAGAAAATGATACCCTATAACCCCATTTCGTCTCTAAAACACTATTTTGTATTATAGCAACAGTAGAGCTTCTTTTTATCAGGAAAACAAAGACCTCAATGTCAAAACCTGTATCAGCTCAGCTGGCCTCTGGGATAGTAATCTAACACCCCCTACGCTTCAATGCCAAACCAGAAACATCCAATACCCAGACAGCATACTGGCTCCTACAGGAGACCGAGGGAGGAGGCCAGGAGAGCGACAGAGAGAGAGAGGGAGAAGGCCTTCACACTTGACAGCAGAGTGTAAAGACTGAACTTTGTCATTAAAATGTGCAGTAAAAACCTCCTGAGCAAACACTAGATAGCATTTCAGATATGAGAGTACAATAAAGATGTGAATGAAGTCATACTCGTGCTGCCTTTGGTTAAGGGATTACTGACCACATCACTCAGTCTCAACCAAGGTTGTTTCTGAATTTAAAATGTTTTACCAGTGTGGGAAACAGCTCTACAAGTCTTTATTAAATCATCTTTATTTTTAAAAATCCAATTATATAAGAGTATTATATAATCTGTAAATACAGATTTCACGCTCATGCAATGTTTTGTTTTGATGCCTGTTACACCCGCGTCACACCCACGCTACGTTAAACCGCAGATGTCATTATGACTCATTTAACGTATCTGGGTGTGCACCACGGTAGACGTGTTGTACACTTGTAAATAGCCCTGAAGAATCTACGCAGGATTAACTGCAGCAATGTGAGGAAATAATTTCCACATAGGCGTTACAAGGCTAGTGACAGAGTTGGCTCCCTGTGATTTATAAAGTCATAGTGTCACACAAATGTAACAAGGGTTGGTCCAACAGAGAGGGAGAAGGCAAGGAAGTGATGAGATAGTTATCTTGAGTTATCTTGGTCTGTTTTCCCACAATCCTCATAGTTTCTGTTTTTCATCTCAGACAGCAATAATAGAAGGGAGGGGAGGGAGATTCAATCTCAGTGTCAGCATTTTGAGGTTAATAGCTTGTTTTATTTTGTTTGTTTTGTGACCTATTTAAAGTGCTGTGTGTTTGAAGTAGGCTAATCAAACAAAAAGGTTTTCTGAAAAAATGCATGAGTCAATAGAGTAAACCCAAATTTAAGACATGGCTAGATACTGCTACTCTCTTTAAGCTCAAGGACTAATAAATAATTCACTGCCACATTTCAAAGTTTACTCATTACTGCGAAACCAGGGATGCTTCTGAACGACCAATTTCCTTTCATAAAAGGTTAAGGTTGGTTAAGAGACAGATTGACTACAAAAAGTGAACTGAGGTGTTGTCTCTTTTGACCATTTATTTTTTTTGGATGAGAAAAGGGGAACAGTTAAACTATGCACTGTCTTTAACTGACGTCATATTCAAAGATGATGTGGTAACAAAGGTAACAAAGCACTAAATTATAACTGACCATGGGAAGAAAATGTAATCGTTTTTCAAAATTCCTGATAAACCTTACCCACCATTGAACACCATGTCTACAGAAATCATGATCAGTAAAAGTGATCCACATGCAGACTTGTTTATGGTTTTAAAAGGAGGCAAACTCTATGTTTTGTCCATGTGTGTTTTAAAAGGTCAAGAAGTGAAGTGATTTGTTTAACTGAATTGGGACTTAAGTGTAGTTGACCTTATTCAACGAGTTAAACTTAAGTCTGAAACTCTGAGGTACAAAAGGACTGAGATATTCCAGTAATGGACATTTTTCAGATAAATAAACTATGTGTCAGTCTCCATTATAGTGAGGCAAGTCTTGCTCCTGTTGTGCTGCAGGGGTCCACAGTAATAAATACTCCAGGGGCACAGAAAAAGGGTCAGGTTAGTTTAAAAGAAAGGGATGTAGCTCAGGTCAAACATTGAGTAAGTAGTTCTGGACTGATGTAGCGTATCTGTATCTGATGTCATACTAGAAATGTTTTCATTTAGTCTCTGGTGTAATACTACACTGTAAATAAACAAGAACAAATTGGACGCTGAATTTGGAGCAGACCAAAATACAAGGTTGTGTAAATGTAGCCTACACTAACACCTATCCATAAATAGATAAATATAAGAAAGTGTATTCTCAGCTTCATGCCACATGTGTTATTAGAGGGTCTGTAACATCCTCTGCCTACATAACAGTGTAGGCTACTCACTCAGTCTTCTTGCGGGAGTTGTTGTCATGGAGATCCAGCAGGTTCACCACAGCCTGACCCAGAAACTTGTCGAGCCCGACGTGAGCCCGGTGCATTACTGCGACGTGCAGGGTGCAGCGTTCAGCATTTCCCGGGTGGAAGAGTGGCAGGTCAAACGAAGCCTCTTCTTTCCACACGGGAGCGACACTTTTCTCGGCCACGGAGGTTGAAAACTTGTCCTTAGCCACCTGCATAATGGCATAGGCATCGTTGGTGCCATTCTTGCCCTTCGCCCGCAGGTTACGACCCTGATGGACCGTTACCTGCACACTCGTGGGAAACCACTGCTGGCTCTGGTCGGCCAGAGACATCGCGAAAGTCCGCTAAACCTTACCAAAAGTTACCCCCCCGGTTATCTTTTACAGTCGCTGTCTACGTTTGGTTATTGGTTAACCCCTCTTCTCAACTCTGTTTCCTCCTTCGGCTTCCTATGCGGTGTGAGGTCAGGTTACCTAGCTCGACTTCAGTCCAGGAAGCTCAGGTTGATGTCGTAATACTTTCACGATTTATCCAAGCCTCTAATAACACTTGAGTTGCGTTAAAACTCGGCTAAACAACATAAAGATATTACCAGCCAGTGTAACCCGATAAAGACATAACTGCTGTGTTACTAATTCCTTTAAGAGGCTGTCATGAAAACATTCCCACTGCCCTGCATTGCCTCCGCTAAGTAAAACAATTCACTTCCCTGATGTTGAGAGTTCCCACCCATACTCTACATAGCTCTGCCTGATTGGCTTAGGTTACCGACAATTCTCAAAGTCCGGCTGTGATTGGACAGTGCAGGGAGCAAGGCGCTGCGACATTGCGGACCGTTAAACAACATCGTAGTCGCTGATCAGGGATCAGTTTTGTCGAGGAAATGTAATTTAAGACTTTCACAAGATTACCATAATCACTGGACTGAGGCTTCTCAAATAATGTTTATCACTTTGCTTTGATGCTATAACTGTAAGAAATTGTTTGAGGTTTCTTGAAACAATATATCACTAAACAGACATGTTTCAAAAATATATAGTTGGCTGCCACTGCATGACATTACAATTTAATAAGCAAACAGGTACCATCACAAAATCTCATCAGTGTTGTGTGTTTGAGGAATCTTAACTGATAAAATTAGAAAACATTAATCTACAAATACAGAGAGTCATTCCTAACAAATTGATTTAAAGCCAAATAACTTAATATCTTCAATTTTTCTTCATTAAGTTGTTTCAGCGAAACTGTGATATGCTGTTTCATTATTAGGCTGAGATTCATAACCACTTCATGGGTTTGTGTAAGTTTATATACAATACAGAGTGCACATCACTGGCTACATTTAGAAAGAAAAAACAAGTCCAGGACTTTTAAAGATGTCTGAACAATTTTAAATAAGCATTTGGTTTGTCTAACAAACTTGCCCAAACACCCCCATAAGTGATGTTATTAATACAATTATGGCTTTTAAAATAGCAATCACCATTGTACTGAGCCATGGCCATTAAACGTTTCCACAATGTCTCAACCCCAGAAACATGAAGCGCCTGACAATGATAACATTGGAATTCATACTGAATCAAGAACAAGGCAAATATATCTTAATGTTTATATTTGTTTTCCATGAGATGTTCCATATTAGTCATGGTCACAGGGAATAGATTAAACATCTTTGGATTTTACATCCTGAATTCCTAATATTGAGGGCATATAAAAAAGCTCATAGTGCACACATTAAATACAATACCAGCACAGCAGACTGAACATTTTAAAAGTCCCAGGAGTAACAAAACACAATATGTCATTCTATTGACCACACAAAACTTCCTCTCAAAGAACAATTGGCAAAAGCCCTGACAATGATCTGCATAGAAGACACACAACTTCCTGTTTACATTGTTTCCTGAACTGAAATTCTATCAAATTGTCTTAAAAGAGAAGTTTTGCTTTGTAAGTAAAGAAAAATGCAAAGGCAATTGATTGACTTTATTAAAAAGGACAAAATCTGAATGCATTGGTGTTTCTTGGTTTAGCAACTGGTACATAAAAACCACTGTTGGATAAAACTTTGAGTTTTTTTGTAATTATTACATCTTTTATATCATTGTGATGTTTACTATTAAGCAAGCATGGATTGTATGAGTTCATCGTCACAAAACCTTCAATATTTGCCTTAAATTTAACATTTCTGAAAAAGGCTGTCAACTTTCTCAACCAACCTGGAGGGGGCAGTCATTTGTCAGCTTGAAGTGAGAATTGAATAAGGTGACTGCATGAGAGAAAGCCAATGACTCGTCTCTCTTGCTTTATATTCCTTCTTTTATATTTGATAAGGATAGCTCAGTCAGTGCTGATGGGAGTATTCATCAATCAGTCATGTTTTCAAAAGTTTCACATAGCTTTATAATCCACATTCAGCCAGCCACGCAGATCAACTCTCTGACTGTATTTGTATACAGGCTACACACACACACACACACACACACACACACACACACACACACACACACACACACACACACACACACACACAAATTCTGAACATACAGAAGCATACATTTGCACACAATTATTTGAAGCAAACATACTGTAAGGGGGTCAGTGGTCCACAGATCAGGGTAAATGCATAAAGCTTAACTTTGGAAATGGACCATCTTGCATTCCTTTTCATGCTATAGTTGATATGCATAGAAATATCCATATTAAAACATTAAAGCTTTCATAACACATCCAAAATCAACATCATATGCTAATTTCAGAGGTATCTTGTACATTTTTATTGTGAAATGAATACAATAAATGAGCATCTTATTTTTGAAAATGACAATGGAAAACCTGCGTGATAACTTTTACCATTTCACAGCAAACTATTTCAAATGCTACAGAGGCAAAAGTACCAGTTTAGGGTCCTGGATGCCTCCAAGATTTTATATCTTAAATTATATAATTATAATAATCAAGAGACCATTAAAACATAACCCAATCATTTCAAAAGTCCATTAAGGTCATGCATAGAAGTTCACATATAAAAATAGGTTAGACTGTGGTTTCACTTTTCCACAAACCACTCTTCATCCCAACGGAGCTCTGTGATTGGTCAGTGCCACTCATGTCCTGCTCTAGCTCCAGCACTGAGTTTTTCAAGGTACCGTTTGGAGTAGCCCCCGGCACAGTTGTGGTGACACTGTTCAAAGGGTAGGAGCAGCGCTTAGTTTCTCGCTCTGCAGCAGCTGCAAGTTTCAAATTGTCTCTGCTGGCGCACCGTCTCTGAGCTCCGTGCATGGCTGCTCTGCTGGCCATAGAGGGCAGCAGGGGGAATGGTTTTCGGCTCCCGCTGCTGCCCCCGTCGCTCCCCTCTGAGGGGCTGGTCACCACAGACTCTCCAACATGTTTCCCATTGGTCAGCGGGCTGGCCTGGGTCTCTGAGAGGCTGTGATGGAGGCTGCCATTCTCACTGGTGGCCTGTTTGTAAACCGCATGTGAAGAACTAAGGTGATCTAACCCAGAGGGTCCTAAAGCTCCCAGGCTGCCCCCTCCTGCAGTCCTTAGAGCTTTGAGGCGATAATGACCCCTGCCCTCACCTCGATGGTGGTACTGACTGCTTCCTTGTTTAGTCCTGCTCCCCACTTTCCTCCTCTGGGGGTGCACTGGGGCTGCAGAGTTAATGATGGGTAGGACATTGTTTGTGGGCTTGGTGATGTTGTCAGTACTGGTGCTGGTATTGTTGCCTGCAGGGGCACGAGTGTTGTTGTTTGGATTGTCTTGTGACACCTGCAGCAGGTTGGTGAGCTTGCAGGGTCCGGGCCCCACGCTGCTGATTCCACTAGGTGTGGATGATGACCGAGCTGATGATGAATTATGAGGCTCAGCAGGTGGATGGCAATTGATGAAAAGCTGTGATCCCTGCTCTGAGGTCTGCACTCCACTCCCAGTAGTGCAGGTGTGTGTGTAAGTTGACATGGGTTGGGAGCTGCGGTAACCCCGACAACATGCAAGCCATGAAGCCTGCACATCCAGGCGTCTAAAGCAGTGATGCACCACCAGAAACACCCCCAAAAGTGTGGCAGTTATCCCATAAAGACTGCTAAACAACAAGCTGGTGCGTCCTGTCAGCCACATCGCCATCGCTCCACAACACCACAGAGCCACAAACAGAAAGTGAGTTGCCACTAGCACCAAAAACTGTGTCTTCAAGGAGTACTGGTCCTCTGGGGCCACAACAGGACTCATTGGCCCCACCACAGAGTCTGTGGAGAGGAGGCTAGTGCTTCCTGCTAGTGCAGGCTGGCTCTCAGTCACAGGGGTAGACATGGTGGTTCCTGTGCATTCTTTGGCCACCCTGTGCCTCAGGCGAACCCCAGTGCACAGGAAATAGATCCAGGTCACCAACACCACCAGGCCAGCAGGGACAAAGAAAGACCCTAGACTAGGGCGCCACAAGAGCCAGCAGCTGCAAAATGCAAAAAAAAATGTCAGGAGGGTCAGTGCAAAACAAGGAGGCGTCTGTGAATTCAACATATCACACCGAAGTAATCACTTCACCAAACAAAACAACACAATGTCAAAAGCTCAGATGGCTCAACTTTAAAAGCAGAAGTACTTACTAAGGGCTGTTGTCTCCATAGTTGTTGACATTGACAGCTGCAGTGATCCCACAAATGATAAGAGGAACTCCACCCGCTATCAAATAGAACCTTGAATAACAGAAAAATATATCAAACACAATTTCCCAGCTAAAGAGTAAAAAAGTGTGAAGTTCTTGTTTGTGCTGCAGGATGCTGTTTGACCTTTGGCTGCTACAATGTTTGCTTGTCAGTGTCTTTTTTCCCTTTGTATTTTTGTGTCTCTCAGTCTGTCCATAATCTGTGTGATCCTCTACTCTCTTAGTGGGCAGAGTGTTATAAGGGTCAGTACGGGCTCCAGAAGCCTATGATTTATTACTGACTGATCCTGACTGTGTCCAAGTATGCAGCTAAGAGAGGGTGGGAGAGCCGGTTAGGTCAATGGCAAAGTTTTTTATGTCCGCAACTTCAAAATCACAGGGGTAGGGGGAGCTGAAAAAGAGGGATAGATTTGGAAAGACAGTGCACCCCTTGAACCATCATGCTCAGATTTATGATGACCCCCCCCTCTGCTTTTGTTAAGTCAATTTCATACATTCCTCCCCTCCCCCTCCCTTAGTCCAGCGTTTTTGTGCCTTACAGCAATACTCTGTTATGTCCATCCAAGTTTCTGGAGTACAATGGCCCACTATGATAGTGTACGGGGTGGGTGGCCATGCGTAAGACCACACAATCTGTCCAAAACATCTACCGTAGTGACAGCAAACGACAATCTCGAAGTGCAAGAAGTGGGTGAAGGTGAGCTGTGCTGACTGACCTGAGCATAGGTCGCTGAGTAGGTGGAGCAAGAGGCTCTCCCTCTGGCTGCCGAGGTATTCTCCACACAGCCTCTTTGTAGAGGACCCTGGCACTGACGCCGATCCACAGCAGGGTCGACAGAGAGGAGTAGTGCAGGGCAATGCCCACCTGTCACATCATACAGTGGATAAGAAATCAGGCTTATATCCACTTCTAAATGAGAAAAAAGTTTAAAATCAGAACTTACTGCTTGGCAAACCACCGGGTAGCTGGTCAAACTTATGCCTCCAGCGTATATAGCTGTTGTCATGGCGATATGGAAGCAGGTATTCAGTAATGTATGCCAGCTCTTTCTTGATATGTGAATAGTACTGTAAGTGGCAAAGAAGAATATAATGAGGAGATTAAACAAATAAAAAGCAGAAACATGAGTCTGTTTGTGCTCTTTCACAAAAGTACCTGTGGTGTAGTATGTGTGTGATGATGATGGTGAAGAGGCAGAGGAGGAGTAGCGCAGTGTTGGCATACACCACTGGGTGGAGCACCCTAACAGACATGGGTGCGGAGTTGGGAAAGTCAGGCACCTCCTAGAAGAAAGAATAAACCAACAAAAGTGTCATTTAACCTTTAGTGATCCTACATAAATAATAAATAAATATCTCAAGGCCAACCTACCTGCAGAACAGCATAGTTGCTGAGCAGAGAGCATCGCATGGTGGAGATGCTGCTGTCACTGTGGACCAGCTGACAGCCCTCCTGGCTCCAGCTTCCCGGTTTCTCCAGCTTCCTCAGCGCCACTGGGCTGCCACAGCATCAGAACCAGGGGACAAGTGGCGAAGCGACACCCAGATGGGCTCTGAATGGTTCCACATTCTGCAGCCGTCTGTCATGGAGAGAGGAGGAAATTACAAAAACTGTACTGATAACTGGTATGTTTTACAGAGCACTGAAAGGAAAAGTTAGTCACGCTGGATGCTTTATATTATAATATTAGTCCATTGTGATGCCTGCACTGTGTTCCCTAAGTATGTGCTATGAACAACAATTCTGTTTGATGAGTTTCTGTAAGATTTGTGTTTCTGTCCTCATAGCTCAAATACATTACACAACTTTTTTTATACATTAAGTTTATACTTAATAATGACAAATCTGCAAAATACAACCAGCTCTGATATTGGAAGAGAATCTGGCTTGATTGTTGACCTCATGACAATATCTTGTTATAGGTATTATGTCATGCCTTGCACTGCTATCCACAAGGTCAAGTATGAGAAAAACACTCAGATATGCTAATTGTCCTTCTGGGTGTATTTAAGGATTTCCTTTACATGTAAGATGACATGCTTTTCCTATAAAGAGTGATTTCTCACCAAGACCAACAAAGATGACAGGTGTGTTGACGCTACGTCTGCTATAGTGTTCCCCAGTGTTGCTAGAGTTCCCAGACAGAGGAAAGAAGCTGCCGGTTCTGAAGGCTACAAACTGCAGTTTACAGTCTGCAGGAGCGTCAGGAGGAAACAGCGTCGATGGCAGAGTCACAGAGGCCAGGGCTACTGAATTCTGCAGGAGAAAAAAACAACAAAAATCGTGTATTTAACGTTGAAATCAACCAGTACACTTTGATAACTATTACTGCAGTAAATACAGGTTTCTGATGGGACAGTTTGTTGTAAAAGAAGACACTAGAAGCTGTGCTCACGCCTCACCTTAAGTGGGAAACTGTTGAGTGAGGTATTATGGGAGCCTGTACTGCAGCGAAAACGAAGCTGCTGCTCATGAACGGATTCGGCCATTTCCATTCCCAGATTGCCTGTTGAGACGTCCCGTCGCTGATACACAGTGCAGGTTATACCAGTGAAGTGGGCTGGTCGAATGAAGTGAGCCTCCATCACAATGTTCCTGGACACCTGTATGCATCAAAAAATAAATCAACATTCTTAAGATGCTTCTTGCATCTCTCTATATACAAACACATATTTTTTAATTCACATCTCAGTGCAAAAATCTAAATTAGCTTCTTTCAGTTTCAGATTAAAAAATGATTTCCACATTTTCTAAACCACATACTAATGTATTTTACCATTGTGACAGTGACCTAGTAGGATTTTCTAGAATTGGGAAGAATATTACGATAAAAATACAGAACTAAGAAATTGCCCAATTGCCCTACCATGGAGAAATCCTGAGCATGACTGTGGAGCTGAGGCCAGGCCAGGGTCTCAAGGGAGTGAACTATGGAGCTGCAGGCCCTCTTCTCTCTCTGGGCGAGTGCGAGAAGCTGATCATCCACCTGCATTAGGTTACTGCCCATCTCAACCAACACCTCTGACAACTGGAACAAACCCACAGACATTTGAAAGTAAATTATGTTAAAGCCAGTGGAAAGTATTACACGCAGATTTGTATAAAGCCATTTTAAAAATGTAAAATAATCCTTCTCACCTCTCGTAGCTGTTTGACATATTCCATAAACTTCTCCATCATTTGTGCCACATACAACACATCCACAGAGTCTGTGAAGCCTGCAGCCTCTAGTGTGTATGTGCGCACCTGATGTGCCAGAGTGACAGCATTGGACACATTGATGGGCCGCTGTAAAGCAAAAATAGAAATAGATAAGGGGAAAGGTGTGATTGCAATAAAAATTATGTATACTTTTAAACTGATTAAGTATTGTTATATTGCTCTGACAGCACTACTGACCAGGATGAAGGTGTGAAGGACCCGAGTGATGCCATTGGTGTAGTGACACTCTGTATAGTTTGCATCCCTCCACTTTCCATTATCATCACAGTATCTGGAGGCTTTTTTTTGCTCACTACCTCCCTCCATAGACAGGGAAGGGTATCGCATCTGCAGGCAGTACTGATGAGAGGTGATGCCTGCCAGAGTCCTCGGCCACCTGAGGATTAAAACACTGAATGAGGAGAAAACCTTTGAAACTTCAGGTGTGTAATAATACTCACTACATCTGTTACTAACCTGAACTCCCCACGGTTGTTGACAACTTTATCCTCTGGACAGAAGGAGGCACTGTTCTCCAGCACCAATATTTCAACACTACGAGACGTGTTGCCCCGCCCGGTGGAAACCACACACTCCCACTCTCCTCTGGCCTCAGCACGCACGTTATATAGAATAAGCTCACTGGATATGGAAAGTAAAGGAAGTTGATTATTATGATAACTACCACATTTATATCTCAAAATACTATTTTTCTTTATGTTTATATATTCACTCAATTATTTTCTTGCACAGGAATAAAGGGTTAAGATGTCTTTACCTGGTGATGAAGGTGCAGTCATGCAGCACATTAGTCTCTAGCTGGACACCCATCTCGGGGTCAGAGGTCACCAGATGACCATTGTGACGCCAGTGTAAGGTGGTGATCTTGTCCACCAAGGCGGCAGTGCAATGAAAGGGCAGCCGGTCACCTTTAAAGACCACCTGACGCTGAGATGGCAGCAGGGACAGCGTGTGCAGCTCGAGTGGACCATCTGAGCAACATGGCAGGAAAAGACCCAGATGAGACACATCTTACTGAACTCCCCACTCATTACTCAACCTCAGTTAAATATTTCCACAGAAGTTATTATGAGCCGGCAGCTCTACAGCAGATTAAATGCAGGCAGCAGCAAATTGGTAAATGCAACCCACAGGATTAGTTGTCAACACAGCTTGATGATACTTTTATAAATACGTCCCTGCTGCTGAGCTGCTTCTTTGGATCTGTTTCAGCACTTTTGGTTCACTAATTCTTAGAAATATTGGGATGCTTCTAAGTAGCGTTATGAGTGAACTGCCTCATTCATGTGTTTCAATCTAGCCCAGCTCTCACCACAGTTCAGCTGGCTCTCTCTCAGGCCACGAAGGGGTTTTCCCCTCAGGCTCCTCGGGTAGGCACACAGGGTTTCGTCCCCCAACCGGGCTGAGCTGCTGCGGAAGAAGCCTGGTACCCAACGAAGGCCGCAGTCACATGACAGGTAGTCTGAGTTGAAGTTCCTGGAAATAGAATAGATAGTCTTTTGTGATATGAAATGTAATTTTTTATTTATCATTCCAGGATACAGTGTTACTTCTAGTTGTTCTATTGGGGCCCAACATATCATCTAAACATGAAAATAAATCCTTATCGGCTGTTGAATTGCAACTACCTTTTAACTGTCAATTTATTGTTCTTACTCTCAATCAAATGTCGTGTTTTTATTTTAAAAAGAAGCAGTAACGCTTCTAAAAAAACATGTGTTTTGATTTGAATTGTTTGTAGAACAATCTTCTGATTTATGGTAGCCAAAGTTCAAATATGTGTTTCATCTCCAAATACCACATCGATGAATGTATCCTAATTCAAATAAATACACGGCAAACAAATCCTCAGTGCTTATTTGCCTTCTTCGACACTCATTGTAAAACACAGCGCGGAAACCCGAGGTAAAATAAATATGAACTGGAAATAAATGTTATCTTTGTCTTGGATATTTATTGTTGTATTCAGATATGGAATGGTATTCTGTGCTAGTGAACTGTCTGGAGTCAGACTTATACTCACACTAACTTGAGAGACGGCAGCTCCTGAAACACTGCTGGATCCAGCGTGGATATGATGTTGCCAGAAAGATTCCTACAGCACATAATGTTAGATATAAACACGTTGACTTACTTTAAGAACTTTATCCACTTATTGTGAAAAGAACAATACTTTAAGGGAATCCATTCATCTTTTTCTTACAATTTGGTAAGATTGGTCAACCCTTGGAACATGTCCGCAGACAGACAGCCAATGCGGTTGTTGGAGAGGTCGCTGGAAGTGAAAAACAAAAGAAAAAAAAGGAATGCGTTGGTTATTTTTTTAAACAAGAGGACTTGACTTCATGCAGATTGTGTTATCTTGACTCATTCAGTACCTGTGTTGTTAGAGGGATATCTGATCAAATGGTACACATCTCAACATACAGGTTTAACTGTGCAGGAACTCTGGTTTATGATAAACTAGTGATAAAGGTTTTCTTTGCCTCTTTTACATTCTACAAATAGAAAGCGCAGACAGTTAAACATCTAAATAAGCATGCCCACAGTCCCTAACACTTTCCCTTATCTCCTCTACGGGACACCAGTGAAGGTTTATCAGCAAAGGGGTAAACACAGGGCCCCTGTTCTACCGTCCAACTCTGAGTGTGATGTATAGCTGCAGCCAGAAAGGGATCTGCTCTGTTGCACCTCTGACACTACCCAGCAGAGAGCCGTCCAGAGCATGTGTTTATCTCCCCCTGTTTGTTTTGAGAAGCCCCAGACCTCGCAGGGAAAACACAAGAAGGGGGAGGAGGGACAGGGAGTCAAGCGGGGCAGCACGGACGACTAACTCCAACCAACGCCACAACCAGACGCCAAAGTCCAAAAACACAACGAGTTAGCCGCTAACAGCCATCCTACATTCAATGTTGGTGAGGAGCCTCTGCTTGGCCCTGAAGTTTTAACAGTAGTGCAGTAGGTGCATAAGAGATGACATCACAAGACCCTGCAAGATCGGCAGAAAACTTGGTGAAGGAGCTTACCAGGAATTCAATACAACATTGAATATGACTTGCCAAAATTGAATCCACTATAACCGTCAGGGGATATGTGGGTCTGCTTCCTGGTATATCTTCTGGCAAATAAAGCAGCCTCATCAAAAACCTATTCTCTGACTTCAGAGACCAAAAAATGAAATTCAAAATGTCCACGCCTGTGTTTACAAATGTCTATTAATATGTTTGCCGCTCTTTATACCAAAGGAATGTGAATCATGTTAACGTCTACTTACAGTTTCCGAAGCTCAGACAGGCCCTGGAAGGCCCCGGGCATGATGGTGCTGATTAAGTTGTGCTTGAGGTCCCTGTGGAGACAGAAAATATTAAGTCAATGAGGAAAAAAAATGCAGGAATAAAGTTGGCATGTCCTTAATAACTAGTTCTAAATATACTGTTTCACTTTTTCTTGTCCAGAGGTTGATGAGAATATCAACACCACTCAGGTTTTATGGTAACTGAAAGCTAAAGCCAGCTAAGTTGCTGCTTAGTGCTACTAGCTACTCTGTTGACTAGCCCCCCCCGTTAAACAACAAGTTATTCTTTTTTTTCTCACGGTTTGTGTGGAGATAAAAAAAAAACAAAGTTGTGTTAATCCCTGAGAGTCTGATTTTGTTAACTTTTGAATGAGCCATGTTATCCGTTTCCCCTCTTTCCAGTTCTAGAGATAAGCACATCTGCTGCTAGCTTTAGCTTCATATTTGACGAACACACATAACAGAGGTGTTAATGTCTGAATCTAAAACTTAGAAAGATAACCAGTCAGCATGTTTTCATTTATGTTAAGCCATTTCCTCAACACTGAGTGTTTCTTTGACTATAAAAGGAAGGGATGGAGAAATGTTTCTTTAGCCCTAGCTCCTCCAGTGGGACACAGTAGGGTGTTTCTGCACACAGATAGGAAATCTTATCCCATCAGCCACCTGGGCTTGAGGTTAGCAAGATGCAGATTCTTGACCAAAGAAAATATTAGAGGAATTCAAAACTGCTAGCAAAGCTTCTCTCATTTTTTCATTCTGGTGATAATCTTAAAAATCATAAATATGAATTCCTTAAGGTCATTTCAAGATCGAACTTCCTTGTAACACTTCACTCCCCACTCACTCATACAGTACACACATCCATTTGTTAAACACTTCAGCCAGATGCTCTTCTCCATCTGCATTACATTTTAAAATTAAAAACTTTTTTTATTAGTCGGCCGGGAATAGTGGGGTTAAAGCAGGTCAAGAGTGGGATGGTTATCTGAAGGACATGGCTAATGTGGTTAGAAACAGGATCTATGCTCCTATATAAAACATTTCTGCTCCCACTGGACCATCCATAGAGGATTTCCTTACAGGAGCTCAAAAGCATAAACACCAAAGCTGCATTTTTGTCGACCTCACTTCTATCCAAGATGTCACTGTGGTAGGCAGACCTCAGGGGATTTTTCTGGTCCTTTTTTCCACACAGATTATCTGTCATCGCTGCTCTCGACCGCGCTGCCTCACACCATGTTCAACCTCAGGCATCTCTGAACCATTGTGCTATCCGCTTTCCAAGAGATGTGCTATTTTGATAAAACTTGGGCAATAAAAAAGTTTTAGAAAATGGCTTCCTGAGAAAAATTATACCATGTGGTATGGCCTGGATAGAGGCAGAGATCAGGGGTTTTTCCTTCGGTCCAAGCTCTGCTAAGCCATCGCTCATTTCTGGATTATAGACAGGAGACAGGTTATAATGATGGAGCAGAAGTCGCTGGCCCTGGACCAAGAGGCGGAGGTCTGTAGTGTTTGTCTCAAAGTAGACAGTCTTGGACAGCACAGCAGAGATCTTTGAGTGTGTGCCAGCTTGTTAGACTGAACACTTTGCAACAAGTTCACAGCTTTTTTCAATGGTGGGTATGTTTCCACCTTTATGATTCTGACTAAGAGGTAAAAAAGTGCTTTGTACTAAAAAAACGTAAAATCTATTGAAAAAATAAGAATGATGCTGCATGTTTGAGAGAAAACAAAAATTGACAAAAAACAAAGCATTATTGGTCAGAATGTATTCCCTAATTGTATTGTGCCTATGTGTTAGTAGTAGTAAATGATTTGTTGATGATGTGACCATGGCGGGGTGGGTGGGGGGGCCCATGCACTTCCGTTTCTTGTCTATGTGTTGCAAGGCTCATTAGTGTGACGATGAAAGGCGAGGCACAGCCTTCTGTTTCCTCTCTCTGATGACCACCTCTCCCTCCCGTCTGTTCTTTTACTAGATAGCAAACTTACTTACAAATTTCTTCTATTAGCTGTCTTTGTCCAGAGTGCTTATTCATCAAGTAGTCAAACTATATTTTTTAGTATCTTGTTGCTCCATCAACTACATTTTTAATTGCATAGTGATTCAAGTAGTTGGACAAAAAAGGACATTATTATTATCATTATAAGGAAAGTTCTATACTATTTGAAGTAAGGCGGTAGTCTGGTTTGGTGATATTATCAAAATGGACAGCAGTTTGTGAAAGGTGTCTGACTGATGGACTCAGTGTTTTTGAGTAGTAGCTTTAAACCCTTTTTGATAAGTATCTTTAGTAAACCAAATTTCTATGGTAACAGCTGCAGTTCAACTGCTGTCTTTCAAAGCTACAGTATGCTTTTAAAATAACTTCACCAACAGTGCACAAAAGTGCATGCACAAGCACACAGCCATTTGTCGAGCTATTTTTAGAAGACATTGTGTAGGGCTGCCAAATTTTTTGTTGAAGACTTAGAATAACCAATATCTTGACACCTAATGAGCTGCAGAGATTTGATCTGGATTATAAGCACCCCAAACACATGAATGAAGATTAAACGTTTGCTCAGTGTGAGTAAAATGGTCTTGAGCGATAGAAAAATGCAAATCAAACATGAGCGTTTCCTGGATTTGTCTTATATGTCTTATATTTGTCTTATGTCTCTTATAATCTGTTTTGGAGTACATTTTGTACATTTTTGGAGTTGGAGTTGGCTTTGGCTTGAAGAGTATAGACAGTCCATTACGTCTGCTACATTCTCTTATCACCAAGCTGGGGAATGTGGTGTAGCTCGCCACAGCCAACAGACCATGAGGTGGGCACTTAGCCCCACTGTACCCTTAATGTTCAGCCCCATAATCCCTGCTAAATCTCTACTGCAGCCCCTTGCCACTTGCAAAGCCTCTCAAATTTATTTCCAACTTTATTGAAAACCCTCAGTTTGAACAGCAGGGCTCACACTCTGGCGATGACTTGTGTGTGTGCCCTCTGGAGGAGACAGGGCCCGGCCTGACAACAGCTTCACAGCTCAGCAGCCTTCACACCGATGACATCAGCTGTCACCGAGCCAGAGGATCAGAGCCGTGACAAGAAATACTTCAAAGAGGGCATGAGCATGGAAATATCAGAGTAACAAAGGTTAGGAGGTGGACTTGTAGCTATGACTATTTCATTACCATCAGCTGCACCTTGTACTTCTTCTACAAGCTACACGATTGGTGGTGACACATTATTGTTGTGTCTTTGAGTTATGCTTTGTAACCTTGAGAGTGCACTGCTTTCTCCCCTTCTCCACATGAGGCCTGTGTGACAGACTCAAGCTCACTCCCAGCCCTGTCTCTTGCAGGGGGGGTTTAACACCAGCGACTGCCATTAAGAAAGTCTTTTCTCCCTAAAAACTCCTCCCAATCAATGGGGATGTTGCACTGCCAATCTGGAGGGTCATTTCTCTGCAGATATGAGGGATGAGCACCTGGGCCCCATGCAGACTTGAGAGGAGGGAAGTGCTTAGCAGAAGGGTAATAATGAAGACATGGTCTGTAAAGCGCTCCAGACATGGAGTGGTCCATTATCAGGAGCACAGCGGCTGGGTCTGGAGTGCTCCACTGACATTGTTTAGGCCCTGGCCCCGGAGGGAGCTGGGAAAATGACTGAAGCCAGGGAATGGCCACTCATTATCGCCAGACTAGAATCAAGAATTTCCTGTTCCTGGAATTTTTTAATGGAAAGACATGGCACTACAAGGCCAACTCAGTCTGATTTATCTCTTGATGCAAAGCAATATAAGAAATAAAACATACAAGTCCACAGATGGTTCAAAGGTATGTTAGAAACAGAAAGGAAAAGGGGGCCGCTGGCACCTCGGCTCCCGACAAAGGTCATTGGAGACCATTTTTGTGCCGCGTGTCATTTCCTGTCTGGTTGGCGTCTCGAGCAGAGGCCCTCGTTTATTTTTACAGTTTCCTTTTTCTCCCTTTTTTTTACTAGCTAGCTTTCCCCTGTAAGGAGGGGCAGGTGGGTTAGGGGTTTCAGTGCTGAGCAGAATCGTCCCTGTGTATGGCCCCGCAGACCCCACCTCCCTACTCCTCAACACACTTGCTCACAATGGGGGCTCTGTAACGCCGGCCCCAAACGTACTCCTGCCTTCCCCCCAAAACAGGAAACCGGGATCTGCAGAGCTCTTGTTTTTCTGCTAATTTCCTGCTTTGCTGCCCCTTCCCCAGATTATTTTCTTTATTTTTTTTCTGGTTCCTCTCAGATTGGATACCTAATCAACCCTTTGTCAGTGTTTAACTGGAAACAAGTTGTTTTGCTGCAGCAATAAAGGTAAAGGGGCAAAGATAGACATTTCTTATTACATAAAAGAAACACACAAAGAAACATTTCCTCTCATACTTTATCAATCACCACTTGCCCATTAACTGCCATGACTATATAATTTTTTATGTTTTCTAATGACTGACAGTGTTTCTAAACCTTTGAAGCTGCCAGCAGCATTTACAGAAATAGCAATGTACACTTTTATTTAAAGTGTTAAATGACCTATGATGATTATAGAGCTGGAGATCGTTCCACCATGGAAAACTCTGGAACCACAGACTGTTATTGACTTAAGTTCTGGCTTTTGGAGCGAAAGAGGCGATGCCCGGTTTGGCATCTCTGTGGGTTTTATAAGATCTGTAGTATGCCCTGCAGTCATAAAAAAAGAGGATCAGATTTACAGTATCGGTAAGACATAAAGTAGATTTTTTATATTTATATGACAGTTCAATGATGAGGTTTATCAGGGGAAGACAAGACAGATAGGCACAGAAAATGCAGTAAAAAATATTTTCTTATCTTGATAACATTCATAAACCATTACTTTTTTTATAATTTTCTTGTTGATAATATATTTGATTGAAAGTCCCAAAAATCTCCAAAGTCACATGGACGTTCTGTACGAAAAAATAAGTTGACGTAATACAGACATGGGATTGAAATAATGGACACAAAATGAATGGGAGGAAAACAGAACGAAAGACTTTCATTCAAATGATCGATGAATAGGGGCTCATGTCTGAGATTAGGTTTTAAACCAGTAGGTGGACTACAGCATGTACAGAGTGGGGTAGGAGGAGAAACAGAGAGAGAGATCCAGGAGAGGGGAGATGCAAAAATAAAGAAGGAACACAGACGGAAGTGGGGGGAAGTTAACCCAGAGAAAGCTCAAGTTCCTCTGCTATTGAAACCATATCAAGTTTGCCGAATGAGTGTGCAAGAGAGTTACCGGTGTATAAAGCGTACGATTTGGTAATGGGCTTATAAGGGGCTCACTCGCTGTTTCAATAAACCCCCAGAGCCATGACTGAGCTAGGCTTGCAATACAAACACACCCCGTTCCTTCAGTTTATCTGAAAGACACATCTGGAGTCTATCAACTCCGGCAGCACCCCCCTTTCTGTTTCCACTCTCCAGCACGCTTAACCCTTTACTAACCCCCTCCACCCCTTCATGTCATGCTCTCTCATTAGGTGACCGTAACGGGGGGGGGGGGGGGGCACTTGATGGCGTGTGCGGGGAAAAATAGACACACACATGATAATCTTTCTGCAATTTGCCACCTCCACAGCTGGCTGCTACAATCTGAACCTTGTCTTACCCAAATTGGTCTAGACTGGAGGGCTCCGTGCCATGCTAATACATTTCTCCACTGTTTTTACATGTTCAAGTGCTGCCCACCTCTGCTTTGTTTCCACTCCTCAGAATAATTTGCTTAGCCTGTGTGGAAATATTGTTAATCTCCCACCAAGAAAAACAACCTCCGATTTATATAAGACAAACTGCAGGAGAGTGCTTTCTTTCATTCCCCCTCCCTCCTTCTTCCTCTCGTTCCCTCTCTCTCTCTGCAGCCATCATACCATCTTTAGCCATCGCAGCTCCACTTCCCCTGTGTCAGATGGTAAAGTTGTTTAAGTTGGACTACTTCCTAACCCTAGCTGCTCAGAATGGCAGCGGAGATTTCAAGGTTGGCTTCATTGAGGTTCAGACTCAGGCTTAGCTGCCCAGCGCCCTCTTTTTCTGTAAACAGATATTATCAAGTCAAAAAGTAACGCATTGAGATTACCTATTTTAATCACAATGTGGTAATAGTGTATGTGTTTTCTATCACTCAGACATTTTGCCAAAACATGTGCACATTCTGACGCCCTTCATGAGTTATTGGTCACAGGTTTCAGCCCAAACTTCCTTTAATTCTTGCTGCTATACAAACATAAATCAGCCTGAATGATATTTCCTCTGCATACTTTAGTATTTAGCACAACAAAAGTACATTCATTTCATGTAGAGCCCTTTTCTGGATACTTCTTACCTCTACAAACCTTTTTTAAATTTTCGAATACTGTGCAATAAGAAAACTTTAATAATATTGATTTAAAAAAAATTATTGTTGACATTTTGTTACCTTTGACTAACATTACATTCTCTGCAAGCATGACACTGTAGTTTTTAGTCATGATCAAAAGATAATTACCTGAAACTAATTGACTTTTTGGGGGCTTATTGTTTTGGAATCGTTGCATTGACTTGCATTCGCACCAATATTACCTTATTTTAGGCAATATTGGAGGCACAACTGTATTATCAGGTACTGTGGCGATCCTTTTAGGCTATCTTGATGGCAAAGTCTGTCATGCTGCCAACACCTTGAGCCTCCAACTGCAGCCACACTCCTGCCTATCAGACCTGTCCAATGCAAGCACCCTGCTGCTCCCTCATCCATCATCATCGCTGCCCTATGCTCTCCCCTTTCTGCTCTCTCTCTCCCTGTAGGGCGAGCAGACCTGGTAATGAGGGCCCCTTGTGCCCTGCCTGCCTGCCTGCCTGTCCTGTGTCCCATGGTGCAGTGGGGCCCCGCTGGACAAGAGCCAGACTGCCTCAGCCCTCTTTGCTCATTATTCTCATTACCTTGCCTCAAATCAGCGCAGGACAGGCTGCTGGGAACTGTCCGCAACTCATAGAGGTCCCCGCTCGTTAGTTGGGCTGCCAGTGTCAGCTCCCATTAGAAAGGGCAAGAACAGAGGTGGAGGTGCTCAAATAGGTGCACAAGTGCAGTATAGAAGGCCTTAAAGGTGTCTTTTTTTGCATAAAGCCAGGTATGATTCAACTTGTGTTGTATCCAAAAGAGCTGGAATGAAAATAATTATTCCAAGATCTAAATGTAGCTATTGGATGGTAAAGCCCATTTTAAAGAGCAGCAGAAACACAGAAGTCCAGTAAAAGGGCAAAACAAACAAGGCTAAATTGCTCCTCTGCACTTGGGTGGTTTGGCAGGTTATGAAGGCAACAGTGGCTTTGAGGAGGTTTGTCCCAATGAAAGGGCTAACTGTGTAGATTGCTGCACTGTCTGGCCCAGGCCTGGAGGAGGGTGGGAGTTTTATTCTCCAACAAACAACAGTAGATCAGACTGCATTCGTTGCTGAATAGATGTCTGTGGTTGTGAGAGTGTGTCTGCAAAGACAGTTACCAGACCTGGAAATGACGGGACAAGGAACGAAGGTGCCCATAGTAGGAAACACACTCTAAGTTACGGTCCACAGAAAGAGGACAGACGGAGAGTGAGAGTGTATGTGTGCAGCCAGGGAGCAGTGTTTATCCTCGGCACATAGGGGAAGAAATGCAGTGTAATTCCCTGATGTGTGTTTACTCAGCCCTAGTGGGCTGGCCTTTGATTACAGCACTGACCACAGAATATGAGTAACTGCTCACTACTGCTGCAAATGACAAGCACATGTAGACGACACACTGGAAACAATGAGACGACCTGGAGACAGATCGCAGGCTAACAAGACAAAACAAAAACTGAAATTGCAACCTAACAGAGGCAAAAACTAAAAACCTTTACTGTAAACTCACTTCTGTTTTCTTTACCTTCAAACCCCTCCATAACTGTGAATTTCCTGTATTGCATTTTTCACATCAGACAGCAATTTTAACCATGATCTCAGATGTAATTATAAGCTGTGTAAGGCTCAATTAAAGGTTGAAGACGTCAGCGTGAGTGAGCAGACCTCCACCGCTGTGTGTCAGAGAGCCAGCGGAGGTTGAGGCAGAGGAGTGAAATGAGGCCTGCATGATTTACGTTATGTCCTCTCTTTACACCAGACGCCCACATCCCTCTCTAAGTAGAGCATAGTGTGTGTGTGTGTGTGTTGGTTTGTCTGTATAATTTTTGTCTTTCTTCCAGGTCTTTCAGTTATGAACATCCAGGAAAGCTCCACCCTGTTGCCCCCTGCTAGTTTTATCACTTCTGCAGCTACAAGGGCCAGCTAGTTGGTGAGCTCAGGTTACCCGACCCACCGACCCCAGGGCGCTACAGGGAACCTTGTCTCCACTTACAAAAACAAGCAACATTGGCTCTTTTTACATCAAAAGCTTCTAGCTACAGGTCTGCTTTGGCTTTATTTCGTTTTTATTTATTCTCCCAGGAAGTTCCTATTCATAGGACCTTGGTTTTTACTAAGTGCTTTCTTCAAAGTAGTTTTATTAACAAGTTCTGTATAAGGTATCTTCCTGTCAACAGGTTTATGAGCATCTTTGGTACAAAAAGTTGAGGTGAGAACTGAGGACTAATGAATTATCTACCCAGGGCGTTCACATACCAGACATAAAACCAGCAATTCAGCAAATTTTGGCTTTTGCTCTCAGCTGGCTCGTCTGGTGTGAGCTCCAGAAGGTAGCTACTAACAAGCTAACAACTGCAGCAAATTACCATATTTTTCTTTCTTTCGACATTTTTAAGAACCTAGTTAGCTTCATGGGTGGCAGCGCCAAGTGGCATGTGGAACTAATATACCTTCAAAATACCCGTCCCTCCCGCAAAACAAGTATGTCTACCAGACTACAGTATCCAAACCGAAGCTGTGCCATGTGTGATGTTAGCTACCAGGATGCTATAAAGCTTTACTGGCATGCTCTGTTAAACTGAACACCTTCTGGTGGGAAAAACAGACACTAGATGTAATTTTCACACCAGAGTGGTCAAAATCCAGGAGTGCTAGCCTGTTGCAGCTTCAGCTAGTATTGAGTCTTATAAAATGTTGTGTGGACCAAGAAACATCATTAACTTTCTTTGCATGCTGCAAGCTAATCTTCTTTTCAATCCAACAAGTCAAACTTAAGTTAGCTTCTGTATTAACAAAGCAATTTCTTCTTTTTGGGACTCTACACAAACTAAGATTAGCATCCTAACATTCTCATGATAACACTGCCTGACTCACCTGTTGAAATACTGATCTTGTAACTGCTCATATTCAGGTTTTTGTCTTATTTTATTCCTATTTATTTTATGCTATATCATATTGTCTAGCAATCCATGCATTAGTTGTTGACATAGCATATTTTAGCATGGGCCGTTCAGCCATACTGCTAGGGCTGCTAGCCGCCATGATAATATATTAACAATAATACATTTAATTTTAAGGCGCTTTCAATGAAAGTGCTACCTTACAGTATTAAACACGTCAATTATAAAACACTACAAAAACAGAATAAAAGCTTTTTAAACCATGCTTTTTTTGCATTGTCACTTGTAAACTACCATTCTTTTTTTCTCCCCAGATATTTTCCTGTCTATCAGCTGTGTAACACTCCTTTATAAAGGTAATGCTGCTACCAAGAAGGTCAAGAGTAGACTCTCTGTTAGCAACAGGCAAAGCTGCCAGCACACACCTCTTCCTCTCTTATCTTGTCCAGTAGAGTGGAGGCTTACCTGATAATGACGGGCTAAAGAGTTATTATGTGAACTTTTCAACATAACTCTTTGATAGCCAGTCTGAGTGTATCATACTCCCTGCTGGACCGAAGCCCATGACTGGATAGAAGTTCACAGAGCTGCTCAGATCTCAATGATTTCCTGTCTGTTTTCCAATACAGACTCTGAGGCAAACTAAAATAACTGCTCACGAATAGATGCAGCATGTAGATCACCCATGACAATGCAGAAGTGTAATAATAGGATAATAAACAGTTCACTACTCACATTTTTTCCAAAGCAAAAAGTCCACTGAAGGATCCATTTTTCAGGACTCTGATTTTGTTGTGGCTCAGTATCCTGTTAAAAAAACACATAAAAGCATTGTTAGAAATGTTCCTCTGCAAAAATAATCAATAAAAACCATGAAGCTAAATTTAGATATGCAATAGGATTATCTTGGACTTCAGCTTTACTGCCGAGGAATATTTCAGCTTTAACAAAATGCTGGGTGAAAGCATCACAAGGGGAAGATGAGAGTGAACTCAAAATGTCCACTTGGCGTTGCAGTCAGGAGATTAATCTGACCATAAAAGTTAGTTTAAGATGTTTCCAATTTCTATCAAATACGGAGAAGGGCATCAAGATTTGGAGGGAAGCTGTAATCTTGCTGATCATTCCTCATACATTTTTACATCAAAAGGATGTCTTTCCACATCAAACAAATGGCGGCACAGGCCATGTTAATTAGTCCTCTCTCCACTAGCCAACAATGTCTTATCAGACCAGAGGGCAGAGGACCTTAGGACATACAGTAATGGAAGTGAGGTTGAGAATGTTTTGTCTGAGAGGGAATCATGGGAAATGGATATTTAGGGTAATGACTTTGCTCTGAGGGACTGGCCACTCGACAGATACTTGTCTGTATAAGATTTTAAAGGAATAGTCCGACCTTTTTTCATTAAAAATTATACTTATTTGTAGACTGTACAAAACTTGTTCCTGGTCTCAGTTACTGTATGTCACCCATTGGATTCTGGAGAGGTGTTATGAAGCCCAACGACGGCGGTCATTATTGGAAATGCAGACTCTAACTGAAATCCAGCCAATCAAGAAGCAGGCAAAATGTTGGAGTTGAGGCAGGCCAAATGAATATTTTTGCTGCTGAAACATGCCCATCAAGCATATCATGTAGCATATTCCAAACGGTCAAAATAACACAATAAAGACGATAATTTTAAAGCAGGGTTGGTAATTCTGGAAAGTTAGCAAGTTTGAAAAGTAACATCTCCTTAAGGCTCTGTCCTAATCCCCCCTGCTCCTTCAAACACCACGCCCCAACAGTTTAACGAAATGAGCTTCAGACAACATAACCATTTTTTTCACAAGGCTGTAAACATAGTTATATCTACTGTTAAATTGACATATTAACATGGACTCAGAGGGGATACCCTGTTTTTTTTAGTCAACCTTAAGTGGAAACTTAAGTCACTGCCGTTTTTTTGCACTTCAGCATTGGCTGGAGGTTTCTACTTGATTTGTACTTGCAAAGCTGGCAAAGAAACACAATTCCATATTATGCCTGCATGCAAAATGGGGGGCTAGAGCAAGCAGATGTCAAGCCCTGCTTAGCAGACTACAATCAGCTAATCAACCTGCTCTGTCCACAGGTTAAATAAAAAACTACACTGAAAATATAACGCAGAGAAAGAAAATACTCCCTGAAGTTCTCTTCGGACTTACAACGGTTTCATTTCTTGCCTTGCTGCAGTGGTGAAAAGTGTACTCTAGGACCCGTTACATCACTGCTGGGTGTGGTCAGAGGTCAAAAAGGCTTAAAACTGTCACCTAGAAATGACAGTTATATTCTGCTTTTCATTTCTCTTCAATGACCATTTCTTTGCCTTTTCACTACTGCACATGCTTCACTGGTTGAAAAGCGACTTTTCTTATAGTGACATGTTAAGAAACACCATCCATTCATCTGTTTTTAGCTTTGTTTTACAAACCCAAACACACCATGTTTAGTGTTTTTTTGATTTTCTTTTGGCTTACTCTTTTACCATTTATGAAGCGATGTTTCTTCAAATGAAGTAAGTGTGATGGAGCAACTGTAAGGTGCACGTGAGGACGGAGTTTAAGCTGGATGAATAAGCTTTTAAAACAAAACCTTGATATCATACAAAACTATGCGTGTGCATCCCATATTGTAAAATAAAAACTACAAAGACATTTGACAAGAGTTAGCCAATATATTCGCTTTCACCTCTCAGAGCCTTCTGTGAAATGTGAAATATCTTCAAGAATTATTACCAAGTCCAGATGCCTTTTCGATCAAGACTTAGATCCCCTGACAGGTTTGCTGTATAGAACAAAATTACATGGACACAAGATTCAATGTACTTCAATACCCTCCATGTCTGGCCCTCTGACTCCAAAGACCAGCCCACGTCGCCTCAACGGGAGCTCAGGCTACAGCCCGTCATCATTAACACACCCTAGCTTCACATCATCCTTCGCTGCTACCACATGGTGCTTAATGGGCTGTGGGCAACATTAAGTGTGTTTTTAATCGAGAGATTGGAGCTGTGTGAGTGCCTGTAAAAGTGGGAGCAGACTAGGAACAGTCTGCTAGATTTACAGATTCAGCAGCAGCAGTCCCCCCACAACCACCCACCCTCCTGTTTCCTGCCACATCAAAAAAAAAAAAACACCGCCTTCAGCTCTGCACCTTCCAACTCACTTAATGACCAGATTTAACCATCCAATCTTGGTATACACAGACAAACAGGCCTGAATTACATCACTATATTTACGGATAACAACAATACAAGGACCGAAAAAATGTTTCAAAGACAAACACAAGGTGAAAGCAACAAGGAAAGGAAATCTGCTCTGCTCATCCCAGACAACTCATTCTCACTCATCCTCAAATCTTCCGACAATTCCTTTCTAAACTGAGGAACAGGAAATGCTTTTTTAAACTACAATCAAGAAACGAGCGCCGCTTCACTGGAAATGACTAAAATTGGGAATCTGAGACCTCTCTGACGGTTTCACTTTCTGTTTAAACCAAATCATCATTTTCCAGGCTTTGCTGTAGAAATGTGTCATTGAAGTAAAATCACAAAATCCACCATCATCTCCAAAATTGGACACTAAGACGCTGACATCATCCCAGATCAGAGTTTTATTTCCAGCTTTGGGAAGAAAAAAACCCATCGTGTTCACAAATCAACAGTCGTGGAAATAAATCAAAGTTATTAAAGAGGAGGTTTTTTAAGTCGATGTTAGACAAGAGGATCAGAGTCAGTACTCTCGTGGTGTAGCCTGTATTTGAACCTATGACTTCTGGATCTTAAGGTCTTGCTCCTGACTCTGAGCACAGTATCTTCTTTTATAACTGGATGCAGACCTGAGATGAAAGCTGCAGAAGATCCGGAACTGCCTGAATAATTCAATGCAGATAGGAGAGGAGAAAGTCACATCTGGCAGAGAAGCAAGCCATTTAATTCAACACAGACAATTTCAATACAGATAGTGCCTATTCGACTCTGCTTACAATGCAGAAAAGAAGCTGCTTGTCAGAGGATTGAGCACGTGTTTGGTTTTGTTGTGCATGCACGTTTGTGTATGAATTTTAAGTCTGCATATATCTTTGCATTTCTATGTAATCAAAAAGATATGATTTGAAAATGTCCTTTAAACCTGCTAAGATATGTTTATTTATGTGTTGTGAGCATGCATGTCTGAAAAAAAAAATCGAATTCATGTGAGTCATTGCATCACAATAATTCTCATTTGTCTCAAGTTAAGATATTTCAACACATAATATTTCCATTATCTTTGTTACTTTGTAGACTAGGACATGAAAGCTGACTTTTACAAACAAACAAAACCCACAAAATGAGCTAAGAGAAACCCACACGGACAACAAAAGGGGCAGATTTCCAGGAACACAGGGGAGTAGCAGAGGCCGGTCACTACTGTATAATCCTACAAGCCTGATGTTTGGAGCACAGTCGTAGTGAAGAACATTGTTCTTTCATAAACAATACAGAGAGTACAACTCTGAGATAAAGAGAGCGAGGCAGAGCTCTGTAAACAGACAGAAATAGTCAAAGTCCCATCAGGCTAAACAGGAAACCCAGCCAATTAGCTGTTTATTCAGAACCCGATTTCAGAGGTCAGGGGTTGCAGAGAGAGCACTTCCTGCAAGGCTAGCAGACAGATGCAGCAGTGTCTAGAAGCAGGTGACAGCTGAGGCAGACGAGGAGTTCATCCTTCATCACTGCAGTATACAAAGGTTAACAGAGCTTTACAACCAGAGAAGATGAGTAGCTTCTTCATTATAGAAATCCAGGCTACTTATAGAGGCCTAATGTCTTGTTACTGTACATGAGTGGCTTCTGTCTCCTCGTCTCAAGTGACAGATCAGATGGCATAATCTGCTTTCAAGAACACAAAACTGTGTGTTACATTAACAGTTTGTTAACTAAGTCCAGACTATGGATGGTATCTCTCATTCACTTAACCCCTTCAGACCACAAAGGCCTTTTAAGATATCAGATGGGCTAATTGGATCCTTCTCTAATTCGTGAAGAAAAAACAGAACCACGTCAGGCTCCAGAGTCTCATTCAGTTGTTCCTGATAATTTATTTACATGAAGATCAAAAAGAGGAGCAGGAGGTCATATGAAAAGAGGCAAGCCACACAGAAACACAGACACCAGTCAGGCTTATGTGTGTTGTACTCATAGACGGGTTAACCAGGGCCAGAAAACAGCAGCAGCATGATAAACTAGTGCTCTGTTCTGTTTTTTATTAACAGGAGTCTGACAATGATATTGTGGAAAAAAGACAACTAAGTGGAGTTGGACAGTGAACAACCTGAACTGATAATAAACTCTAAAACATACTAAATGTTCTCTTTGGTTGAGGAAAGTTAATCTCATTCATGCAGGTTACCATGCGTAGAAAAACCTTGTGTATTTCTTTTTTTTTAGTTGTGTATTTTTGTACAAGCAATTTCAAGATGAATAACCTGGCCCTGAACATGACCAAAATGGCTCAACTTTGCAAATATTTGTAAACAATTTACTTGATTGCAGTAACTATGGACCACATTCTTTCCTTGAAAGTTGACTTCAGTTAATTGAGCTTTTCAGCATATTTGTGTCCCTGTACTGTAGAGATGATGAACAGAAAAAAAGATTGAAACCTTAAAAATGGTCCAACAAGCCAGCAGGGAATCTGATTCAGTGACTCAGGAGGGCAGGAAAGAAACATGGCATGATTAAGATGTGGTACCCTTAATACTGCAAGCTTTAAACATGTCAAATATCCAAACTGCTCTTATA